CCTTGCCCAGCTTGGCACCGCCCTGTCTGCACACACAGGGGCATTAATACGTAATGACTCTTGTATGAGGAAGAGCAGAGCAGTGAAAACACAGAGGCCTGAGGCCCTTCAGAGCCCATGGGGTTTGGGGAGGAGGGACAGAGGTTAACACAGGGGCCAAGTCAGTCAACAGGACCAAAGAGCTGATTGTCTCAAAAGAGGCAAAGAGTAGGTACCCTAAGGGGAGAAGGCAAAAGAGGACCAGCTTAATCTTCAGCCCAGGGGCAGGAAAGTGAAATTCAAGCCTGAGTACTGGCGTGGGGACGGGAGGCTGGGCTCCTTCAAAGTGGGTTGTCTGAAATCTACACTTGCCAAACGTGTTCCTCGCCCCCACCCTCCCACCCTGTCACGTCCCCCTGCAACAGAATGCAGTGTGAGCACTGTCTCAGGCTCTCCTTGGTGTTCGCCAGCCCCCACAAATCCTGCTGAGCTTCCAGCTCTCTCTCAGCCCTGGGAGCAGGCTCAGGGATGCCCAAGGCCTTGTTTCTAGACTTCTGCCAGTATGAGCTGCCCTCTTTGTGCCAGCACCAAACCTTGATCATAGCACCCAAGTACCATAGTGTAGAGTCTGCCTCCCACCCACACCACCAGCAATTTGAGGGCACAGACCGAGTCTGGCAAAGAGTGGGTGCTCAAACATGTTTACTAAACGAATGATTGATCCTGGTCCCTGGTCCCAATACTGGCTGGCTCCTTGGGTTCTTCTAGGCCTTTCTATGGGGAGGGTGGGATTAATAAGCCCCATGACCTTGCCTACCTGAGGTCAGGCCTGGGAAGGCATTTTACTTGATCTAAACATGCTGCCCCTCTGGGGCTATGGGAGGGCCTTGGGGCACACAGTCAACACCCTTAAGCTGGACCCGTGGGCAGCTCCAGACACCCCTGGCTTCATGCCCTGGGCTTTGAGGCATCCTAAGGCCTATGGGAAGGCCCACTAGTCTCCTGGAAGGGCCCTTTCTAGCTTCTGGGCCTTTGCTGATCTTGCACACCTCTGGAAACAGTTCTGAAAACGCCCTGGGTGAAATCTGGCAGCTTCCAGCATTGGTGTTTAAGCATCCCTCACTGGACATACCGGGGGAGATGAGGCTCTACCTGGAGGCTCTGGGTGGCCACAGCCCAGCTCCTCATACCCAAAAGATGACCTCCAGGACTTGGTCATTTGAGGCCACCCTCAGTGACCCCCCTTCCTCTCCTCTGCCACCCAGCCAGCACCAGTTTCTCAGCTGCTTTCCAGGCCTTAAGCACAGTTAGATACAATTTGAAAGTTGATGTAGTGATTCTTTTTATAGATAGGGAAACTGAGGTAGGTGGATGATTTACCGGAGCTCCACAATCAGCTGGTGGAGCTAGTCCTCATTCCTTTGCACCATGAATGCCCCACAGGACCCCAGAAATCCCCCCCATTTCAGTGGTGCAACGATCCTTATCTAACACAACTTGTTCCCCGGTGGGCTTCCTTCTGTGTTGGATTTCAGGGTAGGCATCCCCCTGAAACGCCCCCTTAAGCATGTAGGGGCCTCCCTGAAGTGCTTCGAACTCCTGTGTTGAGGTCAAAGGGCAGAATGACACCCATTTTCCTTCCTCCAAATCCTCACCTCTGAGACACTGCCCCAGACTCTATCCACATGCTTCAACAGCCATGGGCTGGGGGCACTGGAGGGAGGGGTGTCTGCCCACTATGGGACACATCAGAGAAGTGTCCTATCTCAGGTCAGTGCTCCAAGGAATTCCAATCCCAGAGACTGTCCCCGTCCTTGGAGGGCAGAAGGAGAAGGGGCACTTGTAAGAGACCAGTTTAGCGATCCCTGAACCTGGAGCCCAAGTGTTCTCTCCCATATTTTACTAGGGATCCCTGACGGTAGCCAAATGGGCCCTGGGAGTCCCATCCCACCCAGAGCCCTCAGGCCTGGCTGGAAAAGGGAGGGGTGCCGCCGAGGGTGTCCATCTCCCAGTAATCCCCCCACCCATCTCACCCCAGACTCTGGGGTCTTCGGAACTTGGGGCGCCCCTTGCAGCTCTGACCTTGTGCCGGAATTCCCGGGCCACCTTCCTGTCCATGGCTGGGCCGGTTCTAGCCGCGTCGCTGCGCGACCCGCTCCCTCGGCACGTAGCTGCAGGGAGCTGGCTGGAGCTACGACCGTGGTGGGCGGAGACTCCTCCGGGACTGGGGGAGGGGCCCGGACTAGTGAGGGCAGGGCTGCTGGGAGGAGGGAGACGACAGCACTAATCTCCTTGCCGCCAAATCACGCCCGGTGAGCAAAGGGGCCGCAATGTGTGTATGTGGTGGTGGGTGTGTATGTGGTGGTGGTGGTGGTAGTGATAGTGGTTGGGATCGAGGCTGGCGCTCCTCCTGAGGTGGCCTCCGAACACACGAGGTTGCTGGAGAGGGTCACAGAGGTGTGGGGAAGAGTCTTGGGATCTATTGTGGGGGCCTGAACCTAGAGATCCAGAGACTGTTTACGTTGGTGGTTAGGGGGTGGAATAATCTTGTCAGTCTTCTCTGAGTACACAAATAGAGGCCCATCGACTCTTCTGGGGCTGTCACCCATTGTTGCACATCGGCCCTTCGGCATACATTCCATAATAACCCGTTGCCCTCCTGACTAATGGTGACCTCATTGTTACAGAGTGGAACTGCTCCATGGGGTTTTCTTGGCTGTAATTTTTACAGAAGCAGATTGCCAGGCCTTTCTTCCTCTGTGCCGCTGGGTGGGTTCCAACAGCCAACCTTTAGGTTAGCAGTCCAGCGCAAATCATTTGCACCACCCAGGGACCTATACTCTTCATAATAGCCTCCTCAATAAACTTTTCTGACTGGGAAGAAATCCTTGATCTATGAATTCCTTGGGGGCAGAGCTGGGTCTTATTGTAGCCTGCAGAAGATTCAATGAACTGTGGATGGATGGGTGGCCAGGAACCTGGAGCAGTGAGTGGGAGTGCCTGCCTCATCCCACCCCTCCTGACCCCCTCCCCTCAAATAATGACAACAACCACAAACACACGCACACACACTCACTGAAGCATAAAAAGGCCTGGCAGTGACATCCTGGTTTATGGCTGACCTTTATCCACAGCCCAGACCCCACCCATTCGTTTTAGTCAATTCAGCCAAACTTTGACGAACATCTAGGTCTAGTGCTGGAGTGCAGAAACAGTGATCAATCAGGTCTGGGTGAGACTGAGAGAAGACTGAGGCCAAGAGAGGGGTGATAAAATCGGTGTCAGTGGGGAAGTGCGGTATCGTTAATTATGCAGCTTGTCCCTGGATTCAACCTAGGGTGGGGACTTGACCCGTTTGTACTGTGTCAAGGGGCAGGGGGCAAGGAGATGGAAAGCAGTTCAAATCAAGTTACCACCTGCAATTGTAACTTTAGGGGCACCCTGAAGACCCCCTGCTCTGCATCCCATCCAACAATAGCTAAATTTTACAAGCAGACTATTTTCATTTGGACTAAATTATTGCCTAATTTAAGATATAAATTCCTCCTGGGAAAGAACCCTAAAATATTATCTGTGTTTTCACCTTACTATTAGCTAGTTAAGTAGGAGATAAAAGGGAAGGACTTGTGGGATTTTCAAAGGTCCAGAAAAGACTCCACAAAATATATTCCCCTTCAGCTTGCTTCATTGATCCTCTACATTTCTTAAATATGTCACATGGTTGTTTATTTCATATTTAGAATCCAGGCAGAGTGGCAAATGTCCTTGGGAGGGGGAACAAGGTCCACTGTCACCCTAATCCTTTTACATGACCACCGCCACTGCACACTCCCTCCTTATTTAGTGTTCCTCTCTTGGTTTTGGGGACAGCACTGAGTCCTGGTTCTCCTCTCCCATAAATGTTCCTTTTCAAGCTCCCTCTGAGACAGCCCTGCCTCTACCCATTCCTTAACTAGCGCCCTTTAAAGCTTCATCATTGGCTTTCTCTTCTCTGCTTTCCCGTCTATGCCCATGGCTTCAAATATACTGTATGAGGATAGCTGTGTGTGCTTTATCTACTGTATTCCCAAAACAGTGTGTAGCACAGAGTACGTGCTGAACAAATTTGCTAGATGCATGAATAAATGAGTGCATTCCAAAACTATACCCCTGCCCAGGGTCTACTGAGGCCAATACCGTCATCATCCCCAGCACCACCATCATCATCTGCAGGGTCTTGCATCTAGTTAGTGTTCCCTAAGCATTGGCCATGTGAAAGATGTATAGGTTCCTAAGGCTCTCAGGCTAGCTTCATTTTTTAATTCCTCTTGGACAAAGACTGCATCTTGTTCACAAAATTAAAGTTGTTTTTGCCAAACTCTGGCCTTGATGGAGCAATAACATGGGAATATGAAGCACTTCTGTCATTCAGCAAACATTTCCTGAGCCGGGGCCTGAGCTAGTGCTGATCCATTCCCTAGAGGAGCTCAATTCTGGGGGTAAGGTGGGGACTTAGGGACACAGGTAGAAGCTGACTAGGGCTCTGCGGGCGCTGACCCTCGTTCTGCTACTGACCACAGACCAATGACCACTGAGTGGTATGTCTCAGGGTCTCAGTACAGCTGTCTGTGAAATGAGAGTAAAACCAGACTCACACCAGCATCTTGGGGCTGTGGTGTAATGGGCTTTCAGGACCCACGTTCCTGAGCCAGGGACCTCTGAGCAGTAAGTGGATTTAGGGGCTGCACAGACTACCTCCTTGCTCCTCCAGGGGATTTAGCACTGAGTGATCTGAATACAGCCTCCCCATCAGTAGGAACAGCTACAGGCCGAGAAGGCGCCTAAATTATGGTAATGAGCTGGGCAGTCCTGTTGTTCCAGCTCGGGGAGGAGCCAAGCTTGCTAGGAGGGGCAGAGGGAGCTCTGGGGCGTGAGAGCTAGAGGGACCGCGGCTGCAGAGTGGAGGTGTGACCCTGCCTTCTCTGCGAGAGGCGTCTCAGGACCCCGGCTCGCGCTCAGGCTCCCAGCCCCCGTGCGCCCCTATGGGGGCCCCAGCCCCGTGCGCCTCGGCGCCCGCGCTCTGCCTGCTCCTGCCTTGCTTCTGGCTGCCTCGGGGTGAGTCGGCAGGGGCATCCCTGCAGGTGCAGCGCCTCGGTGAGAGGGGTGTGGACTCGGGGAAGCTCTAGGTGGGGAACGTTCAGGGGAAGGGACCTGAGCGGGTTGGAGAGAGGGAAGAGAGACAGGGTCTGAGGGAGGGTAGAGGGGTGGGAACTTGGAAAGCGAGAGAGGCTGGCACTGCGAGGGAAAAGGATCCTGAGATAGGCGAGGTGGAAGAGACCCAAGGTGGGGAACTGGAGAGACCTGGACCCAGGGAGTGGGAGGAAAGAGGGAGACCCTAGTTGGAGAAGGGTGCCAGGGAAGGAGAGAGGGGATTTGATAGGGCTGTAGGGAAAGAGAATGAGGGGATGCTAGGTGATGTGGGAAAGGGTTCCTAGCAGGTGTATGGGGAGGGGGGTGCTGAGAGGTTCCAACCAAGGGAGGCATAATTTGAGTGGAGAGTAATCCCCTTCTCCAGTTGCAGCACCCACGCTGCAGGGTGTTGCAGAGCTGCAGCCAGAGCCAGCCCAGGAACCCAGGTGAGTAGGTGGGCAGGTTTGTGGTTGTGGCTGCCCCCCCCACCTTTATTCCTGGGGTGGGTAGAATGAGCCTGGGCGGGGGGGACTGGACCTGGGGGAGGCACAACCTATCCTAGCCTCCTCACCTATGCCAGCCTTGTTTCTCATCTAGTCTCAGCCACCAGAAGGCAACCCTTCCCAGAGGGGATGCTTCAACAGCGATGGGAGGCCAGGTAGGAGACTTGCGGGGAAGAGGGGCTTCACTGGACAGGGTTCTGGTTTCTGCCTGGGTCTGAGGCTGCCAGGAAGCTCTCTAGGCTGCAAGAGAGCTGTCTCTGGAGTTGTGTAGGAGGGAACAAACAGGTTCCTGGTAGGTGTTTGAAGTGCGCAAGGTCAAGACACTCTGCCCACTCTCCTGGTCTCTTGGGGCCCTATCACTTGCTCATTTGGGTGTGTGTGTTGGGGGGAACACACCAAGACCCTATCAGGGACAGCTGAGTCTCCCCTCCCCCGAGTGAAAGTAGGAAAGTGAGGGATTAGGAGCGAGGAGTTCTCTTTTCCCTGCCTGACCTGGGACAGCCCTATCCCCATCCGAGGCCCCGCTGCATACCCTGAGCAGGGCTCCAGGAATGCTGCCTTGAGAGTCTGAGAGAGAAACTGGGCCGGCTGGTGGGGGTTGCCTGGAAGGTAGGTTGAGAAGCAGAGCCCTGATCTACTGTCTTGAGTCTTGACCATTCTTCATTGCCCACCCTCCTGGGATGGATCCTCTGTGTCTGCAGGAGAGGTAGCCGTTTTGTTTTCGCCCTTCACCAAACTTCTTTGGTCTCTGGGTCAGGTGACTCAGGTTACGCTTCTAATCCTGGCCTGCCTTTGTTGCCTCCTTTCCACAGCTACAGACTTGTTACAAATTCAGCCCACTTGCATGGCTAGTTCCCCAGAGCAGCTTCAGCCCCTGCTTGTGCCCTGGACCCAGGGATCAGCTCTAGATAGCCCCTTGTGCTGGCAGCTTGGGGGATCATTTATGATGGAAAATAAAGAGTCCTAAGTACCTGCCCTTTGGAAATAGATATGAAGATGGGTAGGTGGGGTGCACACCTATTCTGTAACATGAATTATCTGGGTCTTTTATTTCACGTGTGCCTGCTTTTCCAGGCCGAGTTTTAGAATCACAGTTAGATACAATTTGAAAATTAATGTAGTCATTCTTTTTATAGATAGGGAAACTGAGGTAGGTGGATGATTTACCGGAGCTCCACAATCAGCTGGTGGAGTCAGTCCTCATTCCTTTGCACCATGAATGCCCCACAGGACCCCAGGAATCCCAGCACTTCAGTGGTGCAACAATCCATATCTAACACAACTTGTTCCCCAGTGGGCTTCCTTCTGTGTTAGATTTCAGGGTAGGCATCCCCCATTTTTCTTGGTAAAGGGAGCAAGCATCTGGACCAAGCGACCCTGGCAGGTTTTTCACATTACTCCTCAGAGCGAATAAGAGGTTAGAATGGCCCTCCTCAAGGAGACTTGTTTCGGGGAAGTAGGGAGGCTAAGGCAGTTAGCTCATCTGTGAACCAGGGCTTTGAGTGCTCCTGTCTGGAATGTCCTTATTGGTAGGGCAAGTGGGGGGTGGGGTCCTAGACCAGCAGCCGACCAATCTTCATTTCAACATCACCTCATCCCCCTAGAGCTCAGTCATTCTCCAGAGCATTGATGGTATGGACCAGGGGATCCATGAACTTGGATGGGAAAAAAAAAGCATTATTATTTACACAAACCTCAGTCTAACTGAGATTTAGTTTCCCTTTCAGTAATTACTATAGGCTAAAGCCTGCAAGAATATTAAGTATCTGTGACCGTCACTAGTAGAAATCACAGATACTGTCATATCACCTTACAGCTATTACTGATATCTCAAAATATCATTTATGCTCATCACTACTTCAAAATCTTGGTAGTGATAAGACCTGTTTCTAGATCTTGTTATTTAATGTGTTAATAAAGAAACACAAATGTCACTAAATCATACATTTTTATAAAATATTTTCCTAACTGTATCACAATATAGATGGTTTCCTTTGTGATCATGTGAATTTTATGCATTTTAAAACATTATTCTGAGAAGGGGTCCATAGGCTTCACCAGATTGTCAAGGAAGTCCATGGCATAAAAGGATTAAGAACCTCTGATCTATGCTGCAGACTAATCGTTTGGACAGGATTTAAAGAATCCTCCAGAAAGTGGCTTTGACTTTTCACAGCATGGGCTGTCTTGCCCTCATAACACCAATCTTACAGAGGCCACATGTGAGCAGGAGTAAGGAGTGGAGAGGAGCAAAGGCCAGGTTTAGGTAGGGGCTCTCCAGAGGTATGAGATGATGGTGGTGATTGTTTTCCCTGACTCTGTCTGCCTTATGACCTGGATTCTCTGAGGGCCCCATAAGATAGATTACTACCAGGGTGGGAAGCCTGACTCCTGGGGCTGGGCCTGGGTCTGCAGGGTAAGAAGAGATGGGGGACCCCAGGAAACAAGGGCCAGAGTTGGGTGAGAACATTGAAACCTGGCAAAAGATGGGCCAGTGTCCTCCCAGGAGGTCAGAAAAACAGTGAAGAGGGAGGGTATGAGTGTCAGGAGATGAAGTGGAGAGACTTCATTCACCAAGGAGGAGCAAAGAGCTGGAGTTGGGCCCCAGGGACCAAGGGTTCAGAATACTTGCTATGTGCCAAGTCCTTTGCCTGAGGCTGGGGACTCAGCCTGGGGATGCAGACATGAGGGAGGAAGACAGGTGAAACGAATACTCACAGTGTGGTTATGACTTACTGACCTTTCAAACAAGAACATAAGCCCCATGAGGGCAGGGACTTGGTCTTGCTCACTGCAGTTATCTCCAACACCTAGCACAGTTCTTGGCACATAGTTCTGGGAAGTTGTACAGATGAGGAGACTCGGGCTCAGAGAGGGGAGAGGCCCTTCATGCCACACTCAATCCCATGTGACATTAGACACTTGGACTGGAACTTCAGGAGTTTGGATGTTTAAGTCAGTTAGCTGTATAGTGACTGTCCATACATCATGTTCAGGGCAGTCCTGATTTCAGATGGTAAATCCCACATGTTGGGATTTCTGGTCCGGAAATAGGGTTTCTCAGCCACGTTTTATGGAGCCCTAGGGGTGCAGTGGTTAAGCATTTGGCTGCTAACTAAAAGGTTGGTAGTTCGAATCCACCAGCTGTCACATTTTACCTGTCTACACATCAGATTTGTGGTGTCAGGAAGAGTCCTGACTGGAGCTGAGTTCTGAGTAAAGAGAGGTGATCTATGAGGCACTGTTTTCGCTGTTGTTGGAAGAGCCCAGATGGAAGGTGGAGGTGGGGGGAGGTGAGATGTTCCCCTGCCCTGGGGTAAGGGGCTGCCTTTGTTTCTTAGCTCTGCCTCATGTGGTTTCTGGGGTGAGAGGAGCCAAGTTTGTTCTCCAGACAAGCAGGTTTTGTGTTGGCCTGTGGAGGACACAAAGGTTTACTGCAGAAGGAGGGAGGGAGGGAGGGGAGGCTGGGGGATATTGGAGCGTGGAAGGGAGGGACCTTATTCAGGCTGCAGGCCTCACAGGTCTGCCACAGAGATGCCACTTTGCAGGGTAAAAACCAGGTCTCAGCTCCTCTGAAAAGTCTTCCTTCGATACCTCTCAGAGGTGGGCCTAAGCAGATGGAGCTGCTGGGGCACAGAGAGGAAGGGGCCTCCCTTCCTCCAGGTGATGGAAGGGAAGGGCTATGACCTCCAGGAAGGCGGTCCATGATCCATCCCTGAGGTCAGCCCTTGATCACCTTCTTTTCCCCTTCCTGCCTTTATAAGGGAATGGAAGCCGTGGACTCCTTGGCCATGTCTTCCTGGGAGAGGCGGCTCCATCGGGCCAAGTGTGCACCTGCTTGTAAGTATGCCTCTGTGGCCCCTGAGCTGTGAACGGGAGGGCTTTCCTCCGGAGGGGCAGCCCCTGGGGCTTCCTGTGACTTCTCCCTGCTTGAGGTCTCTGTCCACCTTCCCCAGCCCTGGCTCCACTCTGCTTTCTCCTTCCAGGCTGCAGGGAGCTTCCTCTCTGGTATCCTCTCTTCTCATGACCACTACCTTGTGGCTTTCCCCTCACTCCATCTGACTCCAGTGAGATTGTGCTTCCTTGGTTTGTGGGTTTTTTTTTTTTTTCCTCTCTGCTTCACCCTGTGTCTGTGGCCTCTTTCTGCTTCATATGGCATTGCCCTTCACCCTGTCCCATGTCCACGGCCCCTCCCCTCACCCTGTCCCGTGTCCACAGCCCCTTCTCTCACCCTGCCTTATGCTGTGGCCTCTCCCCTCTTTGTGGCCTCTTCCCTCACCACACCCTGCTCAGCTTTGTCTTCTCTTCCTCTGTGGCCTTTGTCTCTACCATCTTCCAAATGTGAGGCCTCTCCCTCATCCCCTGGTTTACACCTTGGCCCCTTCCCTTGAGCCTATCTGTGGAGCAGTGAGGAAGAGCAGTGTACGTGAAGTCCTGCCCACAGCCCCCTGCTCAGCCCACATCCTCCGTATCCTCGGTGCTGCCTGCCTTGCCTGCGGGCCAGAAACTCAGCCTAGGGAGCTGAAGTCCTGGGTGAGACAGTGCCCCCAACAGGCTGACCTGAGGGCTACTTGGTACATGCTGAAAGCAGGCACTTTGAGACTTGCCCTCCTGCCAGGGAGGGGTCAGGGCTGTGGTCTGAGGCATGCCTGTTGGTGCCCCCATTAAGGCTAACTGCTGAAGGCTGCCTGTGATGGGAGGGCTGGGGCCTGGTGCCCCTCCCTGAGGGCGGTGGTGCATTACTGGGTTCTGCCAACCTCGGCTGGATGGGAGGTGCCTCCCATGTCTCCCTTGCAGACTTGTTCTCCTGCTTCAACGGGGGCGAGTGTGTGCATCCGGCCTTCTGTGACTGCAGACGCTTCAATGCCACTGGACCTCGCTGCCAGATGGGTGGGTTTAGGTTCTACTCCACCTCTGGGAGGGGGTGTGAGTGCCGGGAAGGCTGGTGGGCCTGAGGCCTAGGAGTCTTGGACTGAGTGGGAGGTGGGTGGCCCTGCCAAGGCTGGGACCCAACAGCCTCTGGCTAGGTGGCCACTGCGGCTACACAAGGAAGCTCTTTTCCCTGGCTCAGTGTACAATGCCGGCCCTGAGCGGGACAGCATCTGCCGGGCATGGGGGCAGCACCACGTGGAGACGTTCGATGGCCTGTACTACTACCTCTCTGGGAAGGGCAGCTACACACTGGTGGGGCGCCATGAACCCGAGGGGCAGAGCTTCTCAGTCCAGGTGAGGCCTCCCCAGCCCCACCTGGCCCAGAAAACTCCACTCAGCCCAGGATGCTGGGCCAGCCTAGGTTCTGCTTGTCATAATCAAGGCTGGTATCCTTCTTACCCCAGCACCCACCTGGGGGGTCTGTACCTGGCAGGGACTAGGCCCCTACAGCTCCAGGGCTTGGTCCTCAGCTTGGGGCACTGATTTTCTCACTCACTCACTCCTGGTTGCCCCTGGCCATTCATTCATCTGGTCACTCATACATCAATAGATATTAAGCGTATGCTGTAGTCTCCCTAGCACGAGGCTTGGTGGACAACAGCACAGATGTAGTCTCTGTCTTCACAAAGCTCATAGTCTAATGGGGAAAACACACATCAAACCAAATGAATTGTTTCAAGTGCAACTGAGTGCTATAGAGGAGAAATCCCAAATGCTAAAAGAGTGTGTGACGGAAACCTAACCTTGCTCTTTGGGAGGGATGGCGATCAGGGAAGGCTTCCTGGAGGAAGTGACATTTCAGTTGGGACTTGAAGGATGAGTTGGACTTAGCGAACTGAAGGGTGACGGGAGTGGGAGTGGGGAACAGGAGAACATTCTAGGCAAAGGGAACAGTGGGAGGTAACAGCCTGAGATAAGAGAGCACGGTGGGGGTGCTAGAAGACTCAGTCTAGGGACCCCTCTTCTAAGAAGACTTCTGGATCTCCTGCCCTCCCAAACTGGCTGATGGACTCCTCTCTGTAACCAGAATTCCATGTCATTACTCTGTCATTGCATTTCTCTTACAAACGTCTGTGTGCAGTGTTCTGCGGGGGTGGGCTAGACTCTGTGCCTGCCAGGGATGTGATAAGAGTGCAGTGTGTGTTTATAATGTGTGCACCGAGAGTGCCCTGTGAGTGTATATGTGGTGTGTGTATGTTCTATGTGAGTGTGAGATGGCGTTAATGTATATGTCAGCCTTCAAACTAGGGGATCAACCTGGAATGGGTGAACAAAAAGTCCAGAAATGGGGAGAAAAGGGTCCTAGTATTTTAGCCATCCAGACCTGGGTTTGAATCCTGGCTCTGCCATTTCCTAGCTATATGTGTGACCTGAGGCAAGTCACTTAACCCTTCTGTGCATCAGTTGCCTCCTGTCTAAAATGCAGATAATCATAGCTCCTACCTCACCGTGATGTTGTGGGGACTGAGAGAGATCACAAACGAAAGCTGCTGGGCGTGCAGGGGGTGGGCGATCAGCACTAGTGGAAGCTCAGCGAAGCCCCACTGGGCCCAGAACTGAAGCTCAGGGGCAGACCTGTGGAAGCAGCCCTGCAAACTGGCCTCTGAACCCCCAACTCAGGTGCACAATGACCCTCAGTGTGGCTCCTCCCCCTACACCTGCTCAAGGTCTGTCAGCCTCTTCTTTGCGGGTGAGCAAGAGATCCGTCTGGCCAAGGAGGTCACCCACAGAGGCATGAGGTAACTCTAACACCGTCGACCCTGAGTTGTCCTACTCCCTGGCACTGGTGGAGGGGGATGAGTGAGCATCTGCCCTTCTCAAGCCTAAAGGAAAATGTTTTCTGGGGGAAAATAGCAGAGTTCTCACCACTAGGGAGGAGCATGCTAGAATGGTCAGCTGGGTTTCTAGGGTTTGTGGAAGGGGAAGTCCCTCATGGTTTTCTGGAACTGACAGACCCTGTGGGTCTCCAGACAGCGGGTTTTCAGGCAAATAACTGAGTTTTCCAGACAGCTGCGAGTTCAGCACGCTGTTGTTGTTGTTAGTTGCTGTTGAGTCAGTTATCGCTATAAGGATGCCTAATTGTTTTTCATGATTTAATGGAAATCTTCCCAAATGGATCATACACAGTTCCTGCTTTGTCAGAGCAGATACTGAGCCCCCTTTCACCATTTTCTGATGACTTGAGGTCATTTTCAATATCAGTTATCTTTCTGGGACATCACTAGGGGTTCCTGGGGGACCACTTAAGGAATGAGCACTGTGTCCCACACTAAATGGCCCCAGACTGTAGTCCTTTCTGAAATATTTCTTGCATCTCTTTTCCACTGTCCTCGCTTTCCCTTGCTGTCCGCCATCACTTCATGCTGCTTTCAGAGGGTCCTTCTCCCTTTCTCATTTCCTGCTTTAGATCTGGAAGCTGTATAACCAAGCTTTTTGGGGCTGAGTGTAAAATTGAAGGCCCAAGGGTTTCTCCTGTGAATACAGGGTTGGTATAGGTAGTGCAAACGATTAATGCACTTGGCTGCTAACCGAAAAGTTGGAGGTTCGAACCTACCCAGAGGCACCTTGGAAGAAAGGTTGGCAATCTACTTCCAAAAATCAGCCATTAAAAACTCAATGGACCACAGTTCTATTCTGACATACGTGGGGTTGCCATGAACCAGACTTGACTTGAGAGCAACTGGGTTTTGGTTTTTATATGGATCTTTCTGATACCAGTTTTGGCTGGTTAGAAATGTCTTTTATTTTCCTGATTTTCAGCTAAGTTGAAAGTTGCCAAATTCCAGAAAGGCCAGGGGTCCCTCTCCTGGTAAAACTGAGAAGATAGTCATGAGTCCTGTAGCTCTGCATCTTTTTTTTCTCGCCCAGATTTTTTCTTTTTTCCTGTCTTGGCTTTTTTTCTTTCCACTCCATTTTTTCCCTACCGAAAAAATAAAATAGATGTCTGCTTATACCATCCCTTCTGTCTGGGAGAAAGGAGCTGACAAATTCAGTCACTCTAAGACTTCTCCCTCCAGGGGAATTACAATTTTAAAAAACCTCAGAAGGCAAGAGTCCCTCTCTGTTGGTAAACTTCGAAGCACCCAAGACGCCAGGGGGAGGAATGTGGGCCCTCAGACCATGTGGTACCAGTGGCCGTGTAGATGAGCAGGCTCTGCGTAGGTGATAGGTCCCCAGGTATTGGACAGTGGGTCCTTTGGTGAAGGGACTGGGTTAGCAGGGGTGGTGTGGACATCTTGGAACTCTGGGTTATGCTGTGCAGGGTCCAGCTGCCACATGTGATGGGGAGCATGCGTCTGGAGCGGCTTGCCAGCTACGTCATCGTTCGGCATCAGGAGGCTTTCACCCTGGCCTGGGATGGCACCTCAGCTGTCTACATCAAGATGAGCCCGGAGTTCCCGGGCTGGACCCATGGGCTGTGTGGGAACAACAATGCTGACCCCCAGGATGACCTGGTGACCAGCTATGGTGAGGCATAGGGCAGTCAACTCCCAACAGGTTTTGGTGGGGGTGGGGAACAGGTCAGGCTGGTCTGGGACTTGGGACAGGGCCCTGGGATCATGGTACTAAGGACCCAGTAGGAGGCCAGAGGCCCCTTCCTACCAGCTGTGTGGCGTCAGTCATGTTCTTAACCACTCTGGACCTCAGTTTCCTCATCTGTAAAATAGTGATAAGAGTTTCTACCTGCTGGGGCTGTGTGAGGATCTGATGAGCCAGTGGATGTGAACACCCGCTGCCATTGAGTCGATTCCGAGTCATAGCGACCCCACAGGGTTTCCAAGGCTGTAAATCTCTATGGAAGGAGACACATCTTTCTCCCTTGGAGCCGCTGGTGGTTTCAAACCGCCAACCTTTTGGTTAGCAGTCAATCGCTTTAACCACTGTGCCACCTGTGAATATGAAAGCGCTCTATAAAGGACAAAGCTCCATTTTACCCCTGCATGACCTTGGGGAGGTCACCAACCTCTCTAAACCTTAGTTTCCTCCTCTGTAAGGTGTACATAATAAAAGCTCCTACCTCCCTGGTGTTGTGTGGACTGAGTGAGACCACATAGGAAAGGTATTCAGCACACAGGAGGCAATCAGGTTAGCTGAGGCTGAGCAGGTCCCACAAGGCTTCAGGACCAAAGCTCCTTTGAGGAGTTTTAAATGATTTATTCACTGACTTCTTTGACCTTCTGTCCTCAAAACAATTAGCTACTCACTTGTTTATTCGTCCTTCCAACATTCATAGAGCACCCGCTTTTGCTGGGCACTTTGCTACGTGGGATTGGCCCTGCAAGGTGTGTGTGTATGTGTGTGTTGGGGGCAGAGGACCAGTGAAGAGCCAGGAAGAGAAAGGGTCCAGCGGGAGCTGAAGATAGCTACCAGGGGGTGGTAAGAAGTGAAAGGAAAGGTTTCAGGGCTACATCATGGTGACTCTGGCCAGAAAAAGGGAAGGCAACACTTTTTGAGCACCCACAACATACTACATGCCTTAAAGATAGGAGTCATCTGTAGTCCTTGCAATAACCTCATGGAGGGATTATTTCCCCCATTTCACAGGTGGGGAAACTGAGGCTCAGAGAGGTGTGGGAACTTTTTCAGGCTCACATACCAGTTCTCTTTGGATTACGTGGGGCTGCCTCCCCAGAGTTGGAGTTTGGAGCAGTAGGGAGCCACTACAGTTTCTTGAGCCTTCTTGAGTATTATATCCAAACAGTTTTTTTAGAACGGCTCAGTTGAGAAATGCAGATTAGAATGGGAGTACAGGAAACTGGATTCTTCAACTCCTTGCCCACCTCTTGGCATCTCTTCAGCTCCACCCGCCCTCCCTGGAGTCCTTTGCCCTTCTGTCCCCGCCACCCCCCCCCCCACCATGATTACACCAGTTCTCCTCTGCAGGGAAGCTGACAGATGATGTGGCAGAGTTTGTGCACAGCTGGCAGGAGCAGGCCCCCAACCAGCCTCCAGGGCCCACAACCTCCTCCCTTCCCCGCCCACCATGCCTGCAGCAGAGCCCAGGAGTCATGCAGGTCTGGGCGCTGAGGAGAGTCCACCCCATCCCCTTCCCCCACCCTAGTGCTTGGCTTCGGTTTCCTGTCCAACTCCTGGAAAGTCACTGACTGCAGGGACCCAGGGTTGTTGGGTGCCCATGGCCCCTTCCTTCTCCTCCCCACCCTTCTCTTCTGGCCTAAGTGGGGGTTCTGCCTGGGACTGGTGAAATTGAGGGACTATCCATGGCCCTGCCAGTCCCCAGCTTCAGCTTCTGGCCCTTGCCCAGGGTGTGTATGAGCGGTGTGAGGTGCTGCTGCGGCCCCCTTTTGATGCCTGCCATGCCTATGTCAGCCCTCTTCCCTTTACGGCCAGCTGTACCAGCGATCTCTGCCAGTGAGTGGGCAGCCAGGAGCAGGGGAGGTATTGGGATATGGGAAGACCCCTCCCACTATTGGGGTGAACGCTCAGGATGTGGGCCACTAAGCCTCATAACCCCAGACACTGACACACTTCCCAAGGCCTGAAATTTTTATCTACATGGATGGGACAGAGTTTCCCCGTCAACAGAGGCTGAGCTGAGGCCTGACCCCTTAGCTGGGATTAGAACCAGGTATCCTGCCTCCAGTTGAGGGTTCTGTACACCTAGATGCTTTCTCAGCTCCCTCTCCCAGCTGTCTGGGGGGCGGGGGTGCCTTGAAGCCCTGGAAATTTCTAAGGGGCTCTGGGGGGCTGGTGGGAGGTTGGGTCTTGTTCCAGTGTGACCCTTGATCTCCCTGCACAGATCGGTCGGTGATGAAGCCACCTGGTGCAGGGCACTGGCTGAGTATGCTAGGGCATGTGCCCAGGCAGGGCGCCCCCTGCTGGGCTGGAGGACCCAACTCTCACAATGCGGTAGGTGCAGCCTGGTGGTGGGTAGTGAGAGACTTGGACAAGCTCAGTGTCCTGTCCTGCACAGAACCACATTTGTCAGAGCTTTAACCCTGAGGTCCCATCCCCACATGACGGATGGAAAAAACTGAGGCTCAGAGGGAGAAGGACTGGCCTAGGGCCACAGAGTTAGATGAGAGTGGTTCTCAGAGCCTGCCTGCCTCTCACCAATTTCACTGGGACTAGAGGATCAGGAAAATCAAAGCTCTCCCATCCCATCCCCACCCTAGGGCCTGGGGTAGGAGACAGGTCCTGGCAGAGCTGGGGCCAGTGTGGGGCTGACAGGCCATGCCACCCCCTCCCTCCCAAGCTGTGCACTGCAAGGAGGAAGCCTTCACCTACAACGAGTGCATCGCCTGCTGCCCCGCCTCCTGCCAACCTCGGGCATCCTGTGTGGACAGCGAGATCGCCTGTGTGGATGGCTGCTACTGCCCCGATGGTATAGTAGGAGCAGGAGGGTGCCTGACGGCATTGCTCTGGACTGGCAGGGGCTCAGAGGAAGCCTGTTTGTGCAATGAATGAAGGAGCAAACAACTAGTAAATGAGAGGTGACAGTAGGGGTAGAATTGCAGCCACTTGAGAGATTGATTCATCAGGGCATTTCGTTTGATTGAGACTGAGCTTTATGAGGTGTCTAGATAAGGATAAGTCATTCGTTTATACACACTTGCATTTGTTTAAACATTCATCCGTGTACATTTACTTACTCTGTTTTTCACACAGAATACACACCTGCAGTGCACCTATGGTGTGCAGCTCACCTGATTAGGAGCCTTGGTGGGCAGGAGGCGGGGATAAAATAATGATACAGTTACTGACTTTCGGGATCAGAGTCTGGTTGCAGTGATAAGACACACACAGGACTCCAGGCTAGGGATTCAGACAAGATACAGGAGTTCAGTGGGGGAAAGGTTGTCAGGGAAGGCATCCTGGAGTGGATCCAGATGTAGTGACAGCCTTCTGAGAGGTGGGGAGGAGAGGCTATTCAATGTGCAGGTCAGGGGGAGTTCTCTGAGCAAAGGTCTAGAGTTGGGATTATTTGCTTAGGGGGTGTTCACAGGGCAATGAGTAGACAGGTCTGCCTGGAGCCAAGGATTTATACAGGAGAGTATTTGGGATTGGATGAGGGGATCTATGTCACGGGCCATGGGGACCCATGGAAGGGTTGTGAGCAGGGGCAGAGGGAGTTGAATGGAACTTTGCTGTCACCCTAGGGCTGATCTTCGAGGATGGGGTCTGTGTGGCACCAGCAGAGTGTCCCTGTGAGTTCCATGGGACTCTGTACCCAACTGGCTCTGTGGTTAAGGAAGACTGCAATGCCTGGTCCGTACCAGGGGTGTGGCTGTGGGGCTTCCTGTCAGGGTTGCCCATCTGGGGTCTGGGAGCCCTGATGACCCAGGGGTGCTGACTCAGCATGTCTGAGTTGTGTGTAGGGGGAATCTTCACCACCCACTTTAGAGATAAGGAGACTGAGAGCTGAAGGCAGGGGCTCCATGGGCTGCTATCTCCCAAGCAAAGCATATAGCAGACCTGGCCAGCCCGACTGTGGTGCATGTCAGGGTGAGGCGGTCTGGGCCCAGGCCTGGGCACGGTGACCTACTGCCTCCTTGGCCTCTTGTGTTTCAGCACGTGCACTGCAGGCAAATGGGTGTGCAGCACAGCTGTCTGCCCAGGTATATCTGGCCCCCACCTTGGACTATACCTCCTTCCTCTGGTCTCACAGGTTTTTGGGCAGGGGAGCTCTGGGGATCAGGCCTGCTTGGGAGGGGAGTGGGCACTCAGTTCCCTTGGCTAGGCCTGCCTCCTTTTGTTTCCTCAGAGCCACTTTGCTTGGTCATCTAAGGGACTGCACCAGCACTTGTCGGGGGTGGGGGTGGGGGGATTACATGGGGTCCTGTATATCTGAGGACCTTCCTCACTTTGGGGATTGAGACTGATCCTTGAGCTCAGAGCCTGGTCTCCCCTCAGATGGAGATCCCCGGGGCAGGGCTGTGTCTCCTTTCAGACTGGCCTCCAGGGTCTGGGCGTGTCGCCCCACTGACCAGGGCTCTCAAAGGGAGGGCTGAATCTCCTTTCGCTGCCCTGGCTCCTGAGGACAGGGTGCTATCTCCTCCTCATGGCTGGAGCCTGCAAGGAAGTTCCCATGGGTCAGCGGCCTTTCTCTGCCCCTCAGCTGAGTGCTCCGTGACCGGCGACATCCATTTCACGACCTTTGATGGCCGCCGGTACACATTCCCTGCCACGTGTCAATACATCCTGGCCAAGAGCCGTTCCTCCGGCACCTTCACGGTGACACTGCAGAATGCCCCGTGTGGCCTGGTAAGGGCTGGGACAGGTGGGGGACTCTCAGACCTAATCCACCCAGCTACCCCCTGCCCTACATCTTCTAGAAAGGCTGGGGAATTTGGGGGCACCCTGCTACCTCTTCTTTCTGGGCAGAGCCAGGGGGGCAGGAGACTGGCTTCTGGCCCTAGCACCTCTGCTGGCTGTGAGTCACTTCCCTTTCCTGGGCCTCAGTTTTGTTTTTTTTTAAATCTCTAAAATGGGTCTTATTCAACTTTCTTCTCTGCTTCACTAGAATGTACCTTCAACATCTCTGCATGCATGCATGCATTCAGTTCATTCATTCAGCAAACACTGAACACCTATTTGTGCCCAACACTGTGCTGGGTATTGGTGACTGGGGTGAATTAGACATGGCTCTGTCCTCCTGAGCCTTACAGTTTGGTGGGTGAGGTCGACAAGTGAACCCACAGTGTTATAGGAGGTGACAGCATGGAGGATGCAGGGTGGCTCTCCATGGAGGAACTTTTTATTGTTGTTTTACTCAGGATGTGTATGTGGTGTGTATGTAACACAAAAGGCTTCCTGGAGGAGGTGACCCTGGGCTGTGTCAGGCACCTGTGAACATAACTGGGAAGATGGCCCACCTGTGGGTGTGGAGTAGACATGGGTTGGGGGATTGGGTTGTCTCTCAGCGGTGACTGCCTTGCTTCTGCCACTGACTGTGGCTGAGCTGTACCCAAGCTCCTCCCTGTCCAATAGAGTAGGGGCTTGCACCCCTTAACCAGGGAAGCCATCCCCCAATCCTGCCTACCTGGTGGCGTTGCGCCAGCCCTTACAAGCCAGAAGAAAGGATCAGGGAAAGCTTTATGGCAAAGGTGGCATTTGATCTAGGCCCAAAAAGATAAATAAAAAGGGGGAAAAAAATACATATGGATGGATGAAGAGAAAAGGGCATTCTGGAAAGATTAGATGGTACAGAAAAGCAGTGAAGTTGGAATGTTCTAGAATGCATTAAAGCAGACACAGCAGGACGTTGCAACTGATGTGGCTGGTAAAGTGTGTCCATGTGTCTGTGTGTGTGGGAGAGTGGTGGGTGGGTGAGAAGCAGAAAGAGTAAGAGATGTAGCTGAGACTTCAATCTTGGGCTGTTTCAGGGATTTTCTCTCTCTCTGGGCAGGAACTTGGAAGGAAGGTTGTGGCTTGTTGCATGATGTCTTTCTGAGAAGTTTCAAGCCCTGATCCTTTCCTCATTTTCACTGTATTTGACTGTATCACCCTCCTGTTATGCTTTCTCTGGCTCTCTGTTAGACTCAGGATAAAGTCCAAAAATATTTCAATGCTCTGTCTAAGATGGTCCCTGCCTTTGCCCGGTGGGCTCTGGTCCCTCTGGCCTTCTTTTATGTCCTTGAATACATTAAATATCTTCCTGTGTCAGGGCTTTTACACAGGTTGCTCCTCCTGCCTGTGTCCCCTCCTCCGCTTCTCCGCTTGCCCAGCTAGCTTCTATGCATCTTCAGATCTCAGTTCAAATGTCACTTCCTTTCTGTGCCTGTTTTCTGATCTGCAAAATGGGGCAGTTAGTAGTACTTACCTAGTAGAATTGCTTGAGGATTAAATTACTAAATATATATAAAGAGAACAGAATAGCACCTGAACATAGTAACTCTATATTAATGTTAGCTGTTATTATTATCAAGGCTTTCATTATTGTTTTGATTATATATTTTTCAATTATCATTATTCCCTAGGATGGTCTTTCCTACCTCTGAAAACTAAACCTGGTTCCTTCCTTGTATACTTTCCTAGCAGACTACACTTGTCTGCAGCACTGATCGTAATTGTAATAACCAACTTTGTAACTATTTGTTTAATACCTGTCTCACAGGAATATGTAATTTCCATGAGGGCAGGCACTGTATTTGTCTTGTTTATCATTGTATTCATAAAGCCTGGCACAGTGTGCCCTACACATAAGAGGTGCTCAGGAAATGTTTTGAATGAATGATTATGTGAATCTTCCTGTGAAAGGAAGTAGGAATGGACTTAATCTATACTACCCATTTCAGAGATGGATAACTTGAGGCCCAAAGAATATTTGCTCATTTTCTGCATATCAGTGGAGCTTAATACTCTTCTTGATGTGACACATGGAAAGAGCTATATAAATACCTGTAAAAGGATGAAGCTGAAGTACTGGGTTTGGGATGGGGGAGGTCAGTGTTTCCAAGGCTAGACCCTGGCCATCTGGGGTCCGTTTCTGCTCTGTGTCTTTAGACAACCTGAGAGATGACTGTCATTAGTATTATCCCAGCTCTGTCACTAAACTTCTCCAATCTGAGCCCCACTCCTCATTTCCGAAATGAGGGCATTGGGTTTAATGACCCCTGGTGTCCTTTGGGCTCTGTCACTCTGAGAAGCCTACCCCTGGCCTCAAAATGGGATGGAGTCCCGGCCCACGGGGGGCTCTTTTGGGGTCAGCATGTCAGACAGACGAACTCTGCCCTGTTGACCTTCCCCTCTTTCCAGAACCAGGACGGGGCCTGTGTCCAGTCAGTGTCAGTGATTCTGCACCAGGACCCTCGGAGGCAGGTGACCTTGACCCAGGCGGGGGATGTCCTTCTGTTTGACCAGTACAAGGTCACCCCACCCTACATGGACGGTATGGATTAGGGTGGACAAGAGAGTTGGCTGGGAGCTGGCTGCCCAGGGTTCTTCTCCCAGGTCCCTCTGGCCAAAGGCATGGCCATATGGGCAAGAGCTTGCATTGTAGTACAGGGTGGATCAGGCCAGAGGGCACCTTGGCTCCAGGAATGTGAACTCCTAAAATGTGGCCTTGTCCCCACCCCAACATGACAGTGAGCATCATAGCAGTATTATGCCTTCTCCTAACATTACCATATGAATGAGGCTACTGCCCATCCTTACTCTCAGTATTTATTAACTCCTTATCATCCTGCCTGATTCCAGAAAGGATCTGTGGCGGATCAAAGGAAGCACATCTAACACAAATGGCAAAACTATTAAGAAATAAAAACCCAGCACAAGAGAATAATTTTAAAGAGGGGGTGTGGGTTCAAGATCTAGAGGAATGGGGATGCATGGCATATAAAAAGGCCACAGAAATGCAAGGCATAAGGCTGTAAAAACAGCTACAATTCTACAATTTAAATTTGTGACCACTGAATCTTAACATTTGTATTGTTATCTTCCTGGTGGCCACTGAGAAAAGAATAGTTATGGAATTCTCATTGTGTTCAAGGAAGGCACATTCCAGTTCCGTAGGGAGAGCAAAGCTCTAATTGGCACTTGATGCTAAAAGAAATTTCTCAGCTGGGGCTGCTACTCTAGGTTATCTCTGGACCCTAACTTCATCATTGAACAAGATTTCCTCAAGGCTCCCCAAACCAGCCTCATGGCAGGGCTTCATCGAGTGCGAGGATTGCACTGGATATGGGAGTTGGAGTAGGGCATGGCAGTGGTGGCGTGGGTGGGGTAGGTATTGGCCATCCTCTTTCCATCCCATTACCGGTTGTGTGCTCAGATGCCTTTGAGATCCGGAGGCTGTCCTCCGTGTTCCTGCGGGTGACGACCAACGTGGGCGTGCAGGTGCTCTACGACCGCGAAGGACTGCGGCTCTACCTACAGGTCGATCAGCGATGGGCGGAGGACACCGTGGGCCTCTGCGGCACCTTCAACGGCAACACGCAGGATGACTTCCTGTACGTACTCCTGCCGCGGAACCGGAAGTTGACAGGGTGGGCGGGCTTGTAGGGCCGAGCATCGGGAAGTACTGCCAAAAAATGTGGCACTTTTGAGCTGTTACTGTCTCTGACTTGCGCCGTTAGTGATTTATTCCTTTACACTTCAATTTAAGCTTGTTTCTTTAAAGCAGTAGTCCACAGTCTTGTCTGTGCAGAAGAATCACCTCAGAAGCTTGTTAAATGCTGATTCCTGGATCCCACCCTTGATAATCTAACTTAGGATGGGACCTAGGAGTCTTATTTTAAATAAACGCCAGTGGGATTCGGGTATATGCAATCTAAGGAACATACTTTGAGAAATACTGTTTTATAGTGAGGCCTTAAAATTGGATGACCTCAAACTGGGTTGGATTTGGCTCATGGTTTTTTGTTTGTTTTGCTTTTATTGATTGTGAACACTTTTACGTGAGTGTAAGCCACAGTGAGTCAAAGACGCCAACATTCCCACTTTCTATCACACCTAGCAGGTCTAACCCGTATACCTTTCCTGCTTGGTGCCTGAAGGTTTTTGAGTTCGTATCCTGTGAGCCTCCCAACATTCAGGGGAAGGCTCCCACCCACCCCACCCCCGTTTGAGAATGGACACAATTTAGGAAATTGGGGGCAGGAATCAAACCTTCCAGAAAGGAGAACAAGGGACTGATCTTAAAGGCTGGAGGTTCTGGCCAGTCCTTTAAATTACATTCATTGGGCAATGCAGAAGGAAACATGGGAGGCTTTGTTTAGCTAGAAATAAAAAATTCAAATTTGCTGTGAAAAAAAGAAGAAAAAACTGAGAGCTTTTCAATGCATGTACCTTTAAAAATGTACCATTCCACCCTCTTTTGCCTGATGGGGCTGATGTTAGGGCAGCTGACCAGAATGGTGCAGGCAAACCCTAGGTTAGTCCCTGGGCTGCTTGCCACTCGTCTAAATGTGAACTCTGGGTGAGGATGTCACTCTATGTGACATGAGTGCTCTTACTACCCTGGATCAGTAATGTGGGCGTGGTGGGTGTCGAGTATATAAGGTCTATGGAGTAGGAGACTAGGATCGCTCTCCATTCTACCACCTACACCTATATTTGGTGATTCTTGGAGACAGGTGATGCCTCTCTTTTTCTCTTTTTCCTGCCTTTCATGTGAACATTTCCTGCCTAGAGAGAAAGGAGTAAAGGAGTTTTCAGGAGCTGCCTATAAGAAGGGAGGAAGGAGGAAATCTTAACTGAGTGAAATTTAGTACTCTTCGTAGTATCCCTATTTCTCCTTTTCTGACGTGAAGAGCTGGGGGTAGGTGGTGAAAGATGGGACAGTGTGTGATCCTAAGCCCATTTTGAGCCCTTTGAAAGCTTATTAAATGTGATATGTGTCTGTGTGTGTGTGTGCACACGTCCATAATTATATGTGTTTGAATATGGCTATATAGATCCACTTGGCTATTTGCATGTTTGGCATATATTTGTGCTTGTGTGTGTGTGTGTGTGTGTGTGTGTGTGTGTGTAGTAAGGGTGTATGCAAGTGATATGCCTATATGTGTTACACTTTGGGTGGCTATACATGTGCCTCTGGGTGTGAGTGTGCATGCTTCATCTATGTGTAGGTATACAAGCGAGTGCTTACCTGGATGTGTCTGTATCTTCACGTGGGTCCACACGGGCAAATGTGTGAATGTGACTGTGCTGTGGCTGCAGGTCCCCGGTGGGTGTGCCTGAGAGCACCCCACAACTCTTTGGCAATTCTTGGAAAACACTGTCTGCCTGCTCCCCACTGGCCCCTGGCTCTCCACTGGACCCATGCGATGTGCACCTGCAAGCCGGTGAGGCACCCAGAAGTGGGATGGGGTGGGGCTGGTTTGAGGGAGAATGAGGTGGAGACTGCAGGCCATGAAGAGCATTGTGGCCTGGTGGGGAATGGGATTCCTGGCCAAACTGGTCCAGATGATAGGAAGAGGAGGGGCTTCAGGTAGGGGACTGGAGAGGAGAGGAGGGCTAGGCAAACAGGAAGCTTCACGTCCTACCACTGCCATGCACACACACATTTACACACACTCCTGCATCTCAGGGCAAAAGCCAAAGTCCTCACAGTGGCCCATAGGGCCTGGCACTCTCTGCCCACTCCCTTCACCTCCCTGACCTTACCTCCTACTCCTCCTACCTCCACTCCGCTCCAGCTACGCTGGCCTCCTGGCTGTTCTTTCTACACAGCCAGGCCTGCTGTCGTCCACAGGCCTTTGCATTTGCCGTTCCCTCTGCCTGAAATGCTCTTCCTTCAGATGTACGCTCTCCCTCACCTCTTCCAAGTTTTTGCTGAAATATCACCTCACTGAGGCTCTGCTGACCACCTGTTTAAAATGGCAACCACCTCACCCCACCTCATACCACCTCTCCTCCTTCTTAGCTTTCCCTCTCTCCTTAGGTTCTTCACCTTCTAATTTACTATATAATGTACTTTGTTTAATGACTGTCTCCTCCCACCAGAATGTAAGCTCCATGAGGGCAGAGATTTTTGTCTGTTTTGTTCACTGCCTTATCTCTCTTCAGAAGATAGATTTGTGCCTGGCACAGTGTGGAATGCATCGCATGAGTGCATATCTGTGCATGTGTGCATATGGATGCACACACACTCACATACACACTCCTTCACAGTCATCTACACTATACTCACAGACAGCCACATAGTCATACCTGGACTTACTAAAACACACCCACAATGATGCACATTCCCAACCAGCCACACGCTCAGGTACCTGCCCACATCCCTGCTGTACACACACTGGCACACACACACACACACACACTCCCTTATGCACAATCCCCTGAGCTGTCAAGAGAGAAGGAGAAGCTGGGTCCAGGGGCACCAGGCACCCACCCCTCACCCCGTTCTTCCTGCCCCCAGCCTCCTATGCAGTGCAGTCCTGCAGTGTGCTCACCGGGGAGCTGTTTGCACCCTGCTCCACGTACCTGAGCCCCGTGCCCTACTTCGAGCAGTGCCGCCAGGACGCCTGCCGCTGCGGGCAGCCCTGCCTGTGCGCTGCCCTAGCCCACTATGCTCGTCTGTGCCAGCACCACGGGCTCCCTGTCGACTTCCGCACCCACCTGCCAACCTGTGGTGAGTGCCCCACACTTGTGCACCCCTGTGAGGGCAGCCTGGGGGCTGCAGGTTGTGTCACCACTCATGCCTGACCTCCAGATTGAGTGTCCACCTGCCCCCCTAAACTCTCCACCAGGATGTCCACAGACTCCTCCAGCCTAACCCCACCTCGGCCCTTCTTCATAACCTGCTTCTCCTGTGCTGTCCATCTTTGCCAGCGGCCCTCAGCCCCTTGATCACCTGGCCTGTTACCCAGGAGGTTCCCCCTGAACTTATTTTTTACCCCCACATCCAATCCACTTCCAAATCCTGTCAATACCAACTTCACCTTCTTCTCACCACCTCACTGCCATCTCCCGCCTGTATCTCATCTGAGCCACCTAACAGGTCTCCCACAACTTGTTCTCACTGCAGCCAGAGTGAGCTTTCCAAAGATCACGGATCCCTGTGACCCTAAGGTTTGAGTCCACACATGGTTTGATGGGCATGAGATAGCCCCTATCCATCCCCACTCCTACCTCGGGCCACACTGCCCCTCTCCTGTGGCCTAATCATTTCTTCATCTCTGTGCTCCCAGCCTAGCACAGACCCGGCTTCAATAGCTTTTAGCAAATGTTTTTTGAATAAATGATAAAGGCACTGAAATGGGAATCAGGAGGTCTGGTTCTGTTTCTGCTCTGCAGGCGACTTGCTGTGTGTCTGTGGGCAAGGACCTGCCACTCTCTGAGCCAAAGTTTCCTCAGAGGTGATTGGATTGGATCAGTGATTCTTAACTCTGGCTGGACATTAGAGTCACTAAGGAAACTTAAAAAAAAAAGAAGCCGGTATCTGGGCTATCAGTATCAGTGAAAAATTAAAACAACATATTTGGCAGTGGGGTCCAGACATCAGCATTTAAAAATAGATTAATAACATGTTTTATTTAACCCAACATATCCAAAATGCTACCTGTCTGTTTGTCTGTCTAACTATCCACCTGCCTACCTACCTATCTTGCTATCTAGCTATTCAATATAACATTATTAATGAAATTTTTATGTTCTTCTTTTTTTTTTTTAATTAAGTCTTTGGAATCGTGTGTGTGTGTTATACTTACAGCACATCTCAATTCGGACTAGCTACATTTCAAGTGCTCAATAGCCACACGTGGCTCAGGGCTGCCATATTGGACAGTATAGTTCTAGCAGTGAAGAGTCAACCAAACTGGTCATATTCAGGCATCATCATTTTTCAAAAAGCTCCTAGGTGGCTCTGATCTGCAGCTGGGGCTGAGAACAGCTGAGCTTGACAGTCTCTGTGGATCTACTGCCTCTGGCGGAGCGTGGGAGACCCCTGGGGGAGTAGGAAAGTAGCCAGACAAGGAGAGGGCAGCCCTGAGTCTTGGGACAAAGGGCTCCGAGAGGCTGCTGCAGGGGGCATGACTGAGCTTCACGTGCTTGCGTGTGTGCGCGTGACCAGGGTTGGTGCAGGGCCATTGGGGGTGGTGACTTCTACCCCCCCCCAATATCACTATCTAAGAGGGATGTCCTGCAGGGAAAAGACAACACTGACGGTGACGTCCAAGGTGAACTCGGTAAGGGAACCACTCTGCTGCTTTGCCACTCCCGGTACGGTGAGAGGCAGTGGGACTCTGGAGTCAGGCCTGGTTTCAGATCCCAACAATGACCTTAATCTGATGTGTGACCTTGGGCAAGTGCTTAACTTCTCCAGGTCTCAGTTCTCCTCATCAGGATGACGACTCCACCCCATACAGTTGTGGGGACAAGGGAGACAAAGCACAGTTCCCGTTCCCGCTGCAGCACTGTCCTGTGAGGCTACCAAGGAGTACAGCCCCTGTGTGGCCGTATGTGGACAAACCTGCCAGGACCTGGTTGGCCCTGAGGCCTGTGGTGTTGATGGTGGTGGCCACCTCAGCGGGGACGAGTGTGTGGAGGGCTGTGCCTGCCCACCAGACACCTATCTGGACACCCAGGCTGACCTCTGTGTCCCCAGGTGAGTGGGCCAGCTGACCTCTGTGCAAGGTGGAGATGAGGCCAGGGATCTCCAGGGCAGCCAAGACTGGGGAGCCTGGCTGGCCCTCTTCTGTCCCTACTTTGTTTCATTGTTACAGGCCAGACCTTGATGGGTAAAATGGGTGGGTGGGTAGGTGGGTAGGTGGGCTCCCTCCTCTGAACCTCCCTCCCAGGTCTCTCTCCTCAGCTCTGGCTCTCCAGGCCACTCCAGCCCAGCTCTCCTACAAGACAAAACAACTCCACTGAGCCAAGGGGTCTCTCTCCTCTCTCCTCCCCTTCTCTCCCTTCTCCGCCCTCCCCTTCCACAAATATTCATTGACCTCCTATTATGTGCCAGACATTTCTAGGCTCTGGAATTCAGCAATGAACAAAACAGAGTTCCTGCCCTCATGGAGTTCACATTCTAGTGTGGCAGATAGATAATAAACAAATAAGCATACACTTAATAAGCCAAGCGGTAACAAAAGCTATAAAGCAAAATAAAACAGAGTGAGAACAGGGGGTCCTAGGGGACAGGGAGGGGCTGTTATTATTTTAGATGAGGCAAGCATGGAAGGAAGACTTTCTGTTGAGGTGACGTTTGAGCCGAGACCTGAAGGAATTGAGGGAAGAGTGTTCCGTGCAGAGAGAGCGGCCCTGGGCCTTCGGTGGTCTCAGTGTGGCATGGGGACAGTGTGCAAGGAGGAGAGTGGTCAGTGGTTATGCCACAAGAACCCAGAGGATTGACTGGCAAGGCCCTTGGACCCCTGTAGGCCTCTGTTTATGAATCTGTAAAATGGGTATTTGATTTGCGGTTTTCAATTGATGGGGGAGGTGGGAGGCCCCTCAGGGAGTATATTGGAACCGCTCAAAACCCTTTTAAAGCCATACAATCCTCCCTTGAGCTCGTATGTCCCACCCCACCCACTGACTTTGAGAATTGCGAGCAAAGGGAGCCTCTGTTACAATGGGAGTGGGTTCTGTCTGGGGCAGGGGGAGAAGGTAGTTGAGAAGCACCGGGGCTGGATGAGTTCTGATGTCCCTTCCAGTCCTCAAGTGCTCTGTGGCCAGGCCTGTACATGCCTTTAATCAGCAGGTGCTGTGGGAGGTGCGAGAGGAGGAAATAGTCTGCCCTGAGATGACCTGCAGATGGAATGAGAATCCCTGTAAGAGGATTGTAGGCTTATAGGCTTCCTGTGAGGAACAAGTGAGATAATGCATGTGCAGGGACCGGCCTGGTGTCCATGGTGTCAAAATATTTAACAAGCTGTATGTCTCAGGCACTAACCAGTCAGAACAGACACTGGGTGCTAATGACCAGAACACCTGCAGTAGGAGCCAGTACCAGCTGAGTATTCGTCTGGTCCCTGACGAGGCAGGGACTCAGTACTCGGGTCCTATTTTTACCGCCTCTCCCTTTATTGGTGCAAATGAGGTTGGCCTTGGGGGTGTATGGAGACCATTGATGCTGGCTTTATCCTTGTGGGCTTGAAGGTGGAGAGGATACAGGGACATCTCAGGCGGGGAGCGGGGAAGGCACAGGCAGAGACCTGGAGGTGGGCTTGAGCCTAGGGGTTGACACTGCTCTGTTTCTCTCCTCTCTCCTGCCCCATATCTCCATCAACGTGTGTGTCCCAGCCACTGCTTTCACCTTCTGCTCTGCTCTCTGCAAGTGTCTCTGAGGTCAAGAACCTGGGGCATTTGACGCCACCAGCGCCTCTGCTCCTGGAAACAATCCCTTTCCTGACTCATCCGGCTCTGCCCTCACCCTTTTCTTCCCATGCTCCCTGTCTCTCTCCTGGGCCCCCTCCCTCCTCCACTTCCTGAATGAGCTTCTCCCCAAGCCTCTGGCTTTAGCAGTCTCCTCTGGATAGCTGATTGGTTTCCCAGCCCCAGTTCTCAGCTGGTAAGATGGCCCGGGTCTTGGTTATCTAGTGCTGCTGTAACAGAAATACCGCAAGTGGGAGAAAGGCTTGACTCTTTCAGGCCTGGAAGCAGAGTCCCCTGTCTGCCTAGAGGAGGGGAGGGACCTGCTCTGTATATAGGCTTCCAATCAATTACCCTATTTTTGGCCCTGCTGCTGAATCTAAAGGGGCCCTGATGGTGCAGTGACTAAAGTGTTCAGCTGCTAACCAAAAGGTCGGCGGTTTGAACCCACCAGCTGTTCCACGGGAGAAAGATGTGGCAGTCTGCTTCTGTAAAGATTACAGCCTTGGAAACCCTAAGAGGCAGTTCTACTCAGTCCTATAGGGCCACTAGGAGTCGAAATCAACTTGACGGCTACTTTTTTTTTTTGGTGTTTTAATCTTTACGGAAGCAGATTGCCACATCTTTCTCCCTCAGGGCAGCTGGTGGGTTTGAACCGCCAACCTTTTGGTTGACAGCAGGGAGCCCTGGTGATGCAGTGGCTCTCACAGTTTAGGAGGCTAGAAGTCTGAATTCAGGGCGCTGGCTCTAGGGGAAGGCTCTATCTCTGTTGGCTCTGGGGGAAGATTTTAGTCTCTCAGCTTCTGTTCCTCGGTTCCTTGTCGATCTCCACATGGCATCTGTCTTCCTCTGTTTGTACTTCCTTGTTTCTGTCTATGCTGCCCTTTTTATATCTAAAAAGGATAGGTTTAAGACACACGCTACACTGATATAGGAGCCCTGGTGGCACAGTGGTTAAGCACTCGGCTGCTATCTTAAAAGTCGGCCGTTCAAACCCACCAGCCACCCGTGGGAAAAAGATGTGGCAGTCTGCTTCTGTAAAGATTAAAAAAAAAACAAATCTGTTGCCAATGAGTAGATTCTGACTATAGCGACCCTATAGCGACCCTCACTGTGAGTCTGTAAAGATTACAGCCTTGGAAACCCTATGGGGCAGTTCCACTCTGTCCTATAGGGTCGCTATGAGTTGGAATCCACTGGACAGAAATGAGTTTGCTACACTGATATAGCTTCATTAACATAACAAAGAAAACCCTTTTCCCAAATGGGGTTACATCCGCAGTGATAGGTGTTAGGACTCCACATATTTGTGGGGGACACAATTCAATCCATAACAGCCCCTGAATCTGGGACCTAGCCCTCACTGCTGTCTCTAGTGCCAGGCTGGGTTCCCTGCTCCCTGGAGATATGTCACATGTCACAGTAGATGCCATTACTTCTCTCTTGTGTCCTTATGCCCCTTGGCAGTCCCTGCCCCAGCTCCTGAGTTTGCTCACCTTTCTCTGCTCCCTTTTTTATAGGAACCAGTGCTCCTGCCATTTTCAAGGAGTGGACTATCCCCCCGGAGACAGTGACATCCCATCCCTGGGCCATTGGTGAGCTCCCTTGTCCTCTCTTTAAATGGAAGTTGCTGACTGAAGAGAATGCAGCTGAGCAGAACTTCTCATGAAGTGATACCCACTCTCCCCTCTGCTCAGGGAGCCAGGAACAGTGAGCGGGGCTATCTGTCTGAACCCTGTAGTGACCCGAGTGCAGTGACTCGGGGCCTCCAGGGCCTGCAGTGACTGGGGGTTCTGTGTCTGGGTTCTGTGGTGACTGGTGGTGGACTAACCCCAGTGTCTCTCTCTCTGCAGCCACTGCAAAGATGGAGTAATGAGCTGTGATAGCAGAGCCCCAGGTAAGGGTGACAAGAACAGTGGGGTTTTTCTGGGTGGTGAGGTTATAGTGGGGAGCTCGAGCACAGATCAGGAAGGGAGAGCCCACCCCATGTCTTGCCCCATACCAGGCCTTCTGTATTCCTTGCTCTCTTGGGAAAGGCTTTAGTTTGGAGGGTGGCATCCTCAAACCCTGTCCCAACCTCACCCCACTCCAGTGGCTGTCACTCCTGCTTTCTGGGATTCTGTCTCCCTTGGGGGCAGCCACCTGGGGTATCCAGGGTGTCTGGACAGTTCCTTGACCTTCCTTGGGTCCTAGATTTCTTTAGTCTGGGCCGTCAAGGATCTGTTGAGTCTGACTCTCTGCCTAGTCCAGCGCTGGACAGGGGGGTCACAGAGATGGGGAGGACAGCCTGGGCCTTTGAGACACCCAGGCAATAGGAGTGTGGTGGGGGTGGAACCATAGTAGGTCAGTCTGTGAGGGACTTGGAGGCAGGGTAGAGCAGTGGGGGTTGGAGCAGGGAGAGCCTCCTGGAGGGGGAGGAGGACTGTAGGGAAAGGAATTGACAAGGATGGGATTAGAGAATAATCACACGGCAGGTGGTTAAGAGCAGGGCCTTCAGAGTCAGGCAGCCCTGGGTTCAAATCCTGCCAGGTACCCTAGCTGTGCAGCCCCGGGTAACTCACTTCACCTTTCTGAGCCTCTCCACTTCTGTGTATAATCTAGATTCCTACACCCTCCCCATGATTCATATACACTCCTGAGAGCATTCATTCTTTTAGTCACTTTTGGCTTTAGATTTCTGCCTCTCTGGGATTTTCATTTCATCTTCCTGACTATTCCCTTCTTTCTGCTCCATGCCAACCCAGGCAGGAAACTCAGCTCCTTTTTATTGATTTCTCTTAAAAAAAACATTCACATAACACGTGAATGTGCACAGCAGACTTTACTGCAGGCTCAGGAGACAGAGGGAGCTTATGTCACAGAAATACAGGTAACAGTAAATCGACTCTCCCTATTGTTAATGAAAGTCCTCTGGCCACCCTGCCACACTGCTCAGCCATCCTCTTTCTGGCTCCTCTCCTGGTCCGTTTGAGGCACTTCCTCTCACTTTGTTAAGCCTTTTGAAAGCAGAAGTGGCTTTTCTGTTAAATGGGAAAATAAGAGATAATGATAAACATCACAGGGTTGTTAAATAAGATAATGCATGCAAAGTGCATGGAACAGTACCTGGTACAGAGGACATGTTGAGTGACGGGTACTAGGGGTGGTGGTAGTTATCATGTTGTGTGACAGTACATATCTATCCCTCTCTATAATGTGTACTTGGGAACCCAAGAAATGTCCTAGGAATGGCCAGAGCCTGAGGAGGCATCGGAGCCTCATCTCTAAGTTCCAAATGCTGGGCCACCAGGTCTCCCTGGCCCTCCTACAGCCCAGGTGTCCTCCGTGCATCCTGCTGAGTGTCCAAGTTCTTCACGGCACCTGCCCTCTTCTCTCCCAGCTGCTGTCTGCCCAGCAGGCCAGGTTTTCGTGAACTGCAGTGAGCTGCACACAGACCCAGAGCTCAGCAGGGAGAGGACGTGTGAGCAGCAGCTGCTGAACTTGAGTGTGCCGGCCCGTGGCCCCTGCCTCTCGGGCTGCGCCTGCCCCCAGGGGTATGTACCCATGTTGGCGTGGTCTCCCACTCCTGAGGGCTGGCAGAACTAGGGAACCTGGGGAGGGTTGGGAAAAACCTAACACAGCCTTGCAAGGAGGCAGTAGCCCAGTACTGGGTATAATGGCCAGCTAGGAGTCTGGGAAAGAGCAGGGGCTTGGGAGTCCAACCTTCTTGAGTTCTACCTGGTTCTGCTTCTTACCAACTATGTGCCCATGGACAAAGAAGAGGACTCATCTCTCTGAGGCTCAGTTTTCTCATCTATAAAGTAGGGATATTAATAGTACCTACCACTTCAATAGATGTTGTGAGGATTAACCCAGGTACCGAATAAAAGCACTGAGGGGTGTCTGGTATGCTCTAGAGAGCCAATGGGCTGAAGACCAAGAGAGAAGAAACCCATGTTTCATCTCTCAGCCTGTTTCCCTACAAAGTTCTAACCACAGCCCCCTGGTCACCATGCTTCTCTCCACAGCATATCTGAGAATCTCTGGGTGCTGTGTGTTGCTCCCAAGGATCTTGGGGCCACTGCAGGGGTCTGAGACTGTCTGCTGCTCCAAATTCCCTTATGTATGGGTGCTGAGCCAATGGCCCTGGGGCCAGCAGGCAGTGCAGCACAGTGGCTATGAGCACAGACCCTGGACCCTAAGACTTGAATCCTGGTTCTGTCACCTACTGTGCAAGTTAGTTAACTTCCCTGAGTCTCAGTTTCCTAGTCTGTAAAATGGCACAGAGTAAGCAGTCTAGGTGAGCAGACAGCACTGTCCCCCTCACCTGGATCCCATGCATTGCAAATGCCCTTCTGAGGGGGGCCTGGAGTGAGAGGGTCCCCTAACAGGTAAGGAGAGGGTACGCACAGATTGAGGACACCTGGGGGCAGAGGCCAAAGCTTTGAGTCTTTGCATGCTGTTCCTGGTGATGAGCACAGTGGGAGCTCAGGGATGCAGTCAGGTCTGAGAAATGCCTGGGTTGGGGGGAGGGATAAGAAGACTGGGGGGACAAGAAGGGCAGGGTCAGAGCAGTGAATGGTAAGCGGCAGGGAAGACATCCTAGGAAGTGGCTAGAGACAGGGCCTGGGGCTGAAGGTGGGAGGCCATGAGCCAGCCTATTGCTGGTGTCTGATGTAATTACGGAGAAAGGAAAGGCAAGGGACCAATCAATATTCATTGTGTATCTACTAGGTGCTAGGCAGTGTGCCCAGGTCTATAATTAAATTCTCATAATGACCTTGGGAAGAAAGTGTCATTATCCTTGTTTTACACATGAAGACACAGAGGCTTAGAAACGTTAAGTGGCTTTAGGTAAAACAGAGTGGATTAAACACATACTTTCTCTACTTCCTCCCACAACCACAATGAAATGTTGATAATGTAGTAAAAAAGGTATAAACCCACAGGAACAAAGAGAACGGGAGAGGAGATAACAATGGCATGAAATAGATCAAAAAGAACATGGGTGGGTGTGTAGAAACGTGTCGCAGAGCAGAGGGTGACAGCTGATGCTTGTGGAGGGGAAGGCCAAGGAGAAACAGCCCATGTTGTGTTGAGAGCCTTGGTGCCTCGGGAGGGGAGAAGGAGGGAAGGGGACAAGAGGATGAGTTGCAAGTCTGTGTACCAAACTCATTGCCATCCAGTCCATTCCAACTCACGGAGACTCTATAGGATGGAGTAGAACTGCCCCATAGGGTTTCCAAGGCTGAAATCTTTACAGAAGCAGACTGCCATGTCTTTCTCCTTCAGAGGAGCTGGTCGGTTTGAACCGCCAACCTTTCAGTTAGCAGCAGAGCACTTTAATCACTGTGCCACCAGGGCTCCTTCAAGTCTGTGTAAGGAGCAGTTAAACCCCTAGATCCCTCCCTCAGTCCCTGGGTCAGGCGACTGCCTCACCCTCATCCAGCAGGAGAAAGGTGGTAAGAGTCTCTGGAGAAACACATTCAGAGACACTGATCTCGAGGGCAGTAGGAGGGTGAGATGCGTAGTAAAAACAGAGATGAAGTAGAAATGTGCTGGGATCCCAGCCCTCTTCCTCAGATGGCTTCCCAGGATGGTGACCCCCGCCTCCAGCTGGAGATAAAAGAGGATTTTTCCTGTGAAAAGTGGCTGGGCCAGAAGAAAAAAGCTACAGAAGCAACAAATTAGTGGGTCCTCAGAAGAACTAGATGATGCCTGGCTGCCACCAATGACTGCCCTGACAGGGAACACAACAGAGAGTCCCTGATGGAGCAGGAAAAAAGTGGGGTGCAGAACTCAAATTCTAGTAAAAACACCAGACTTAATGGTCTGACTGAGACTGGAGGGACCCCAGAAGACATGGCCTTTGGACTGTTGTTAGCCCAAAACTAAAACCATTCCCGAAGCCAACTCTTCAGACAAAGATTAAACTGGACTATAAGACATAGAATGATACTCGTGAAGAGTGTGCTTCTCAGTTCAAGTAGATACTTGAGACTTAATGGGCAGCTCCTGTCTGGAGGCAAGAAGAGAAAGCAGAAAGGGACAGGAGCTGGATGAATGGACATGGGAAATACAGGGTGGAAAGAAGTGTGCTGTCACAATGTAGGGAGACCAACTAGGGTCACATAACAATGTGTGTATAAATTTTTGTATGAGAGACTAACTTGAGCTGTAAATGTTCACTTAAATCACAATAAAAAAAAAATTAGTGGGTCCTCCCTTATACACAGAGCCTCCAGTGGGCTTTGTGGTGTCTCACTTTCATTTTCTTTTAATTATTAAAAAATGAGGTATAATTTATGTATGCTAAAATGCATAGATCCTAAGCATACAGTTTGCTAAGCTTTCACAAATTTATATAATCTTGTTTCTCACACCCCTCTCAAGAAATACAACATTTATTTCTATCACCTCAGAAAGGTCCCTCTTGCTCTTTCTCAGTCAATCCCCTCACCTCAGACCCCTAGGCAACTGCTGTTCTGATTCCTGTCAGCATAGATAAGTTTTGCCTGTTCTCAGAACTTCATAATAATACCTGTAATACTCTTGCTCTTTGCCTTTTTAAACCGGATACTTATATTATTTTGAAAATTACAATAAGATAGGAAGGTTAAATAACTTGTCCTATGCAGATTCTAGATTTGAACCAAAAAGTGCTTATTGCCAAAGTCTGTGTTCTTACCCCTGCCCCAGACTGGACCCTGCTAAGGCCTGGATCTGGCCCAGAGCTATGGCCTGAGAATTGTTAATAGTGCTCTCAGACAGCCCTGGCTCCTGCCTGGGAATGTGTCAGAGTTCATAGAAGGCAGACTGGAGGGTAGAGGCACTGCAGTTTTGAGGTCTGTGGTCTGAGAGCTCCACGAACAATCCGGGTGTGGAGGCAATGCCTGTGTCCATGGTTTGTTCATTAGTATACAGTTGGTGCCTAAGGAGTGCTGCCATTCCTCCTTTCCTCCTGAACTGCACCCTGCTTCCTTATGGGTGGCAGACTTCTGAGCTGGGCCCAGTGTGTTCCGGGTTTGGCCAGTTGAGGAAGTGTCTCTGAACCTCACTGGGCAGCAGCAGGATGGCCCATGGGAACATGGTCGCCAGTCTCTTCTGGGGTAAATGCTGAGAGCCCCCCCAGGGCATTCACGTGGCTGTGGGGTCTTCCACAGATGGCAGGCTTGGGGAGAGTGCTCGCCTGACCATCTGCTTGCTGGGTCCCTGCAGCCAGCTCAGACATGGGGATGCCTGTTTCCTGCCTGAGGAGTGCCCGTGCACGTGGAAGGGGAAGGAATATTTCCCTGGGGACCTGGTCATGTCTCCCTGCCACACCTGGTAAGTGAGGGCCTTGCCCATGCTCTGCTTTTTGCAGAGGGATGGGTATGGGGAGAGGGCTCCTGAGTACAGTTTAGCATTCCCCCTTTCACCACATTCCTGTTACGCTGTGTGTTGTGTAGGGGTCTGAATACATGTAACTGTATGCATATAAAAGAATACTCTGGGGTTTTTTGTATTTACATGAATGTGAGTTTGTTTAGACATGTATGTGAATGTATGTCCATTGCATGTTTGTTACCATGACAGTGTGTTTGCGTATTTATAGGAACATGTATGTGTGGGCACAGATCCGTCTTGGAGACCCATCCAATTATCCGGACATTGGCCCTGAGTCTTTGTCTCACGTGGGGCTGATGCTGCCCTGTGTCTCTGGCCCAGAGGATGGCTGTGGTCGTTTTGTCCATGTTAGCAGCAGAGTCAGAGTCTAGTCCATCTGCTCCTAGGCTGGTTTCCCCAAATGCATCACGGTGTATTTACAAGGTCAGAGCCCTAGCTGTCTGATCCCAGAAGTCCCGGGTATAATGTCAGACACAGAGCTCTGTGCAGACTGTGTGCTCATAGTCTTGTGGGATTCCGTGACTGTGGTATGCCAGAGCTAACATGGGTGCCACATGGCATGTGGCAAGAGCTTGGGGCTGGCTGGCCTGGATTAGCCCAGGTTGCTCAGGCCTGGGGACTGACTCAGTCCATCACGTCACTGGATTCCAGCCACTGCACCAGCACCCCCACCCTCAGGCAGGGGGTGGCAGTGCTATGTCGAATCCCCTCCTGGTGAGCACATCATGCTCAGAAATCAGACCCAAAGCAGAAGGTGGGGGAAGAATATGGAGCCAGGGCCAGGGGGCTGGGATGATCTTAAGGTTTAGTACACTGGCATAAGGAGGCTTCTGTCTTCACTGGAGAGAGTGACCTGCCATGGGGTGGGTGTCCTCTCTACCTGAGGGGACTGGGAAACGTGGGCAAGGTGTTACTTTTTAACTCATTTTTAAAAATTCCACCTTCCTAATACATGTGTAAAATTCCCTTGTGAAGGACATGTCACCGTGTCCCAGATTCTAGCTGCTCTCCAGTGGGCAGGTGGGTGCTGGAGGTGCATCTGGGCTGGTATGGCCTGAGTGTTTGTTTGAGAGGATCTGTTTACAGGGGTGGGGCCTGGCTACACATCATTCTCCAACTCTGCTCAGTGACGTCTTGCTGGTAGCATGAAATTGGCCATGGTAGGAGTGTTTACAGCACTGTGTATATAGCTGAGTTGTGGTAAGTTACGTAGGTGGGTGTGTGATAGGATGTATACACAGGCTTCGGAAGAAGTGGAGTCAGTGCATAACTCAGTGTATATGTGCTGTGTCATTGGAGAGAGCCTGCCTGTCTTTGTTGTTGTCATTCATGTATCCCCAGATCATACCCCTTTTCTCCTGAAGATTTTAGTTCTGAACACACTGTCACTCCATCCAACCTTAACTCCTGTCTGAGTTCTTGGAGATTTCAATATCCTTTTAGAGATGATGTGTCTATTACCCTGGAATCTCAATTTCTTCATTTCCTCTCTTCCAGTGATGTTATTCTCCAACTGGCTTTAGTCACTAACTCCCAAGGCCACCCCCTGCATCTTGTCATTTCCCAAAACTGCAACCAGCCCATATCTCAACTCCTTGCATCTAACCTTACCTTCTATCTTTATGACCCACTTCTTCTAGTACTCTGTCTCCCCCAGTCCTTCAACCCAATGGGGATTTCTAATCCACAGACCCTACCCCTTCTCCACTGCTTCTCACCTCCCTTCCCTTCTTACCCAAGCCCATGGGCCATCATTATAATCACTTCCATAAATGCAGTTCCTGTTCTCTTGTTTCTCTCCCACTTTGCTGCACTTGTTGGCCAACCACAACTTTGGTTACATGTATCCTTTTGTTTCCTCCGCACCTGCATCCACACAGCTGAATGTGGCTGGAGGAACACATACAGTCAAGCTGACTGGCCTCACTTGAAATTTCAGCTCCATTATTTATTGACTGTATGTCCCTCAACTTCTCTGAGCCCCATTTTCTCCTGCATAAAATGGGAATCATAGTCCTGCCTTTGGGCTTCTGTTGGGGGTTGGTGATGTTTGTTGACCCCCTAGCCCAGGGGCTCACAGTGGGTGTGCAGTAGGCAATGGCTCTGTCATGGGTTTCAAGGCATGGTGTGGACAGTGTCCTGAGAGCTGGTCTGGATGTGTGTGTTTCAGCGAGTGCCAGCAGGGCTCATTCCAGTGCACTCTCCACCCCTGCGCCTCCACCTGCACTGTCTATGGTGACCGTCATTACCGCACATTTGATGGGCTCCCCTTTGACTTTGTGGGGGCGTGCAAAGTGCACCTGATCAAGGTGAGTTCCGGGATGTGCCTGCCTGGCTGGCTCCCATACTCTGCCATGAGGACCCAGAGCAGCCTAGGCCGAGGAGTGTCAGGGCATAGTGGTGCAGGGGACCCCAGTCTGACGCTTAACTGGGGGGAGGAAGAGACCCAAGCCTTGGCGTGTGGCTCTCTAGAGACTGAAATAAGTGCTAAGGAGCAGGCCCAGGGCTGACAGAGCCCACCAGTCATAAAATCCCCCTCTGTCTGTCCACTCACCATTATAGCCCGCCCCATGGGGTCCCGAGGGCTTTTCTGTCTGTACTAATAAGAGCTAATGCTTTTTTAAGGATCCCTGGTGGTGCAATGGTTAAGCACTTGGCTGCTAATTGAAAGGATGGCGGTTTGAACCCACCAGCTGCTCCACAGAAGATAGATGTGGCAGTCTGCTTCCATAAAGATTACAGCCTTGGAAACCCTATGGGGCAGTTCTACTCTGTCCTATAGGGTCACTATGAGTCGGAATCGACTCAAGGCAACAAACAGATTTGGTTTTGGTTTAATGCTTTTTGAGCTTTTATGTGCCTGGTCGCCTGCTGAGTCATTCTTCAGAGATTATTTCACTTAATTCTCACAGCAAACCTACAAGGTAGGGTTGATCCTATGTTACAGATGTGGCAACTTGGGCTTAGGGAAGTTAAGTATCTCAGTCAAGCTTACATAGCTAGTAAGTGTGAGCTGGGGTCAGGTTCGAACCAGGAAATTTGACTCGAGAGGTGATGTGCTTAAGGAATGGCATGCTAAAGCCATCAGCTCACCTGGAGGAAGAGGAATGGTGATGTGGGGGTGGCTCAGTGAAGGCAGGATCCCCTCCAAAAGGAGAAAAGGAGTACCAATGGGACAGGTGGCAGAGTGCCAGAGACACATACCGGGGACATTGGTTTTGCTAAGGGCCCATCCATCTCATTCTATAATCGTAAGAATAACAACAACAATAGTAATGATAAAAAAAAAACTTTATGGAGTGAGTCCTAGCTATGGGGCAGGCACTGTACTGGGGTCTTTTACATAATTTCAGTGACTCCATGAAATCAAGATTGTTGTTGTTAGGTGCTGTCAAGTTGGATCCGACTCATAGCGACCCTATGCACCCCAGAATGAAATTACTGCCCAGTCCTGTGCCATCCTCACAATCATTGCTATCCTGGAGCCCACTGTTGCAGCCACTGTGTCAATCCATCTCATTGAGGGTCTTTCTCTTTTTCACTGACCCTGTACTTTACCAAGCATGATGTCCTTCTCCAGGGACTGATCCCTCCTGACAACATGCCCAAAGTATTACTGACCCTGTTTTATTTTAATTTTTTAATTTCAGAGGTAATACATAGTCTTCATAACATTCAAAACAATACTGAAGCATATATTGAAAACAAATATCTCCCTTCACACGTATTCTGTTCCCTTCCCCTGCTGAATAACCACTACTAACAGTCTGGTTTGAGTCCTTCAAGGCCATTTGCCATCTCTCTCACACACACACACACACACACACACACACACACACACACACATCCTTGGTTAGCTTATATAAATAGGATTCTCAAACTTGCTTTTTTCACTTGTCTTGGACATTATCTCAAGTCAGTTTGCATAGATCTACTTTCTCTTTTTAACAGCTGCGTAGAATTCTACAGAAAGAACATGCCCTAGTTTGCTTTATTATTCCCCATTGATGGACATTGAGGTTGTTTCCAATACTTAAACATTAAAATTCTGCAGTGAATACTTTTGTGGGTATACCTCTAGCTTCTTAGGTGTAGAATTGTTGTATAAAAGTTATGCACGTTTAAAATGTTGTTCAATACTGGCAAATTGCCCTCCAAAAAGACTTCTGTTGCCATCAACAGTGTATGTAAGGCAGGGCCCCTGCCCCTCCCGCTCCTGCCAACACCGATCATTCCCATTATATGTTAATTAATTACTCATAACTTTTGGAGAGTCACTATATACCGAACACTGTAGGAAACTGAGCTCCAGAGAGCAGAAATAAGTTGCTCAAGGTTACACACCTAGTAAGAAGTAGCAGTGAATTCAAAACCACTTGTCTCTACCTCTGTGCCTCTCAGCAGGATTTCTTCTCTCCTTGGGCTTTATTGGACTAACTTATTTTTTCTTCAGAGCACGTCAGATTTCAGCTTCTCTGTGATTGTAGAAAATGTGAACTGCTACGGCTCTGGCATCATCTGCAGGAAATTTATTTCCATCAACGTTGGGAACTCACTCATCATCTTTGACGATGACTCGGGAAATCCTGTAAGGCCTGGTACAGGCGAAGGGTGTATAGATAGACTATTTACAGGTTACCCAGAGGGCTGGGGGCAGAAGAGGGCTAAGGTCTGGTTTTCTTCTCTTGAAGCCTAGACTGAATTTCTTGACCAGGGTCAGGAACACAGAGGTCGATATGAGGGCATGAGGGAAGCAATGGAGTTGGTGAAGCCTTGGAGCTGCATAGTGACTTGCAGCCAGGTTGAGCTGACCCAGGCTTTGAGAGGCACTCAGGCCTCAGGACTGACCATCTCTGTCTCCCTAGAGTCCCGAGAGCTTCCTGGATGAGAAGCAGGAGGTCTACACATGGCGAGTGGGATTTTTCACACTGGTACATTTCCCACGGGAGCACATTACCCTTTTATGGGACCAGAGAACCACCGTACACATCCGGGCTGGGCCTCAGTGGCAGGTAAATGTGTGAGCAGTGACCCTCAAGGGGCTCTCTGCTCCCAGCCCATGGCTAAGCCAAGTCCCTGGGTGTGTTTGGGTGAGCTCTACCCTAACTGAGGAGCCAGGAGCGTCATATCTCCCCTCCTATCTCCCCCACCCGACTCTATGTCCCTCCTTCTCTGACCTTCCCCTTTCCTTCTTCTACTGCTCTAGGTCTGTGACAGACTTCTGGGCTCATGGTGATCCCTCTGCCCATGACTGACCCCTGGAATGTCTGTGACTAACTGTGGCCTCCTTTCTCCTTTCAGGGACATTTGACAGGACTCTGTGGAAACTTTGACTTAAAAACCATCAATGAGATGAGGACCCCAGAGAACTTAGAGTTAACTAACCCCCAGGAGTTTGGCAGCAGTTGGGCTGCAGTTGAGGTAAAGGTCCTCACACTGACTCACACCCCTCACTCAAAAGGGTACCGGCCAGCATTGGGAGAACCTGGCCCCCGGTCAGGGAAGAGGGGCATTGGTGTGAGACTGCTCCTGCAACTGCCCTCTAAGCCTCCAACCCAGCATCACCAGCCCTAGACTCTGTCCCATAGCCTGAGGACATGCTTCATTCTGTCTCATAGATCTGGTTCCCCACCCTGCCCTGGATCAAGCCTTGGTGGGTGGTGGGAAAGTGGGGATAAGACAAAGTCTCTGTCCTAGGGAAGATGAGCACCTAATTAGGGAAACTGAGGCTTATTTAAGTATGACCATCTTACCCATCTGTGTACCCCCAGGGCCTGGCACTAGGTCTGGCACTGAGGAGTGACCAAGAGAGACTGATAAGGGTTGAGGTGATTACAGAAAGACTTCCTGAAGAAGGTGGGACTAGTGCTGGTACTTGAACTAGAGGCTATATTTGGATAGATGAATGTATCAGAGGAAAGGCCTCTGAGAGGGAGGACAGTATTAGCAGAGGCAGGAATGAGGGGGTGTCCCTGAGATTTAGGATATGTCTGACTGGAGCTGTCCAGCTGTGAGCTATGATGCGGGGAGGGGGACACAGAGCACTGAATGGGGAGCAGGAGACCTGAGTTTTTATCTTGGATCATCCACCTTCTCTGTGGTCTTCTTGTGCCAAGAGATGGGTGAATAAATTCATCTCATGTGACAACTCTGATCAGTCAGAAGAGCTGCCTAGTAAGCTGTGTTGAGAAATACCCTGAGACTTGTGTTCATATATACATGTTTGCCTCTCCTGACTAAGTGAACTAAGGTCTCCACCTGCTTTTTTATTTTTTCCCATACAAAAATTTATATATGCATTATTATGTGACTCTAATTGCTCTCCCCATACTGTGACAGCACACTCCTCCTTTCCACCCCTGATTTCCCATGTCCATTCACTAGCTCCTAACCCTCTCTGCCTTGCCATCTCACCTCCGGATAGAAGCTGCCCGTTTAGTCTCTTGTATCTACTTGAGCTAAGAGGCATACTCCTCACGAGTATCGCTTGATGTCCCACAGTCCAGTCCAATCCCTGTCTGAAGAGTTGGCCTCAGAAATTGTTTTACTTCTGGGCTGATAGAGAATCCAGGGGCCATGCTCTCTAGGGTTCCTCCAGTCTCAGTCAGACCATTAAGCCTGGTCTTCTTACTAGAATTTGAGTTCTGCACCCGATGTTTCTCCTGCTCCATCCGGGATTCTCTGTTGTGTTCCCTGTCAGGGCAGTCATTGGTGGTAGCCAGACACCATCTAGTTCTTCTGGTGTCAGGCTGATGAAGTCTCTGGTTTATGTGGCCCTTTCTATCTCTTGGGCTAATACTTTCCTTGTATCTTTGGTGTTCTTCATTCTCCTTTACTCCAGGTAGTTGGGACCAATTGATGCACCTTAGATGGCCACTTGCAAGCTTTTAAGACCCCAGACACCAGTTACCAAAGTAGTATGCAGAACATTTTCTTAATAAGCTTTGTTATGCCAGCTGACCTAGATGTCCCCTGAAAGCATGGTCCCCAGGCCCCTACCCCTGCTACTCTGTCCGTCAAAGTGTTTGATTGTATTCAGGAAACTTCTTAGCTTTGGTTTAGTCCAGTTGTGCTGACTTCCCCTGTAGTGTGTGCTGTCCTTCCCTTCACCTAAGATAATTCTTATCTACTATCTAGTTAGTAAATAACCCTCCTGCTCCCTCCCCGCCTTCCCTTCGTAACCATCAAAGAATGTTTTCTTCTGTGTTTAAACCTTTTCTGGAGTTCTTATAATAGGGGTCTTATACAACATTTGTGCTTCTAAATTCCGTCAGCATAATGACCTTCAGCTTCCTCCATGTTATAAGATGTTTCACGGCTTCATCGTTGTTCTTTATCGTTGTGTAGTATTCCATTGTGTGGATATACCATAATTTGTTTATCTATTTGTCCATTGATGGGCACCTATGTTGTTTCCATCTTTTTGCTATTGTGAACAGTGCTGCGATGAACATGGGTGTGCATACATCTATTTGTGTGACAGCTCTTATTTCTCTAGGATATATCCCAAGGAGCAGGATAGCTGGATCGTATGGTACTTCTATTTCTAGCTTTTTAAGGAAGTGCCAAATTGATTTCCAGAGCGGTTGTACCATTTTACATTCCCAACAACAGTGTATAAGTGTTCCAGTCTCTCCACAACCTCTTTGGCATTTATTGTTTTGTGTTTTTTGGATTAATGCTTGCCTTGTTGGGGTGAGATGATACCTCATTGTAGTTTTGATCTGCCTTTCTCTAATGGCTAATGATCGTGAGCATTTCTTCATGTGTCTGTTAGCTGCCTGAATATCTTCTTTGGCGAAGTGCCTGTTCATATCCTTTGCCCGTTTTTTAATTGGGTTATTTGTCTTTTTGTATTGAGGTTTCGCAGCATCTTGTACATTTTAGAGATTAGATGCTGATCTGATTTATCGTAGCCAAAAGTTTTTTCCCAGTCTGTAGGTTGTCTTTTTACTGTTTTGATGAAGTCTTTTGATGAGCATAAGTGTTTGGTTTTTAGGAGCTCCCATTTATCTAGTCCTTCTTCTGGTGCTTGTGCATTGTTACTTATGGTTCGTATTGTGCTTATGCCACGTATTAAGGCTCCTAGGCGTTGTTCCTATTTTTTCTTCCATGATTTTTATTGTTTTTGATTTTATATTTAAATCTTTGATCCATTTTGAGTTAGTTTTTGTTCATGGTGTGAGGTATGGGTCCTGTTTCAGTTTTTTGCAGATGGATATCCAGGTATGCCAGCACCATTTGTTAAAGAGGCTGTCTTTTCCCCAGTTAACTTTTGGTCTTTGTCAAATATCAGCTGCTCATAGGTGGATGAATTTCTGTCTGGATTCTCAATTCTGTTCCATTGGTCTATGTATCTGTTGTTGTACCAGTACCAGGCTGTTTTGACTACCGTGGCAGTATAATAGTTTCTAAAATCAGGTAGTGTGAGGCCTCCCACTTTGTTCTTCTTCTTGAGTAATGCTTTACTTATCTGAGTCCTCTTCCCTTTCCATATGAAGTTGGTGAGTTGTTTCTCCATCTCCTTAAAAAATGCTGGTGGAATTTGGATCGGGATTGCATCGTATCTGTAGATCGTCTTGGGTAGAATTGACATTTTCACAATGTTGAGTCTACCTATCCATGAGCAAGGTATGTTTTTCCACTTAGGCAGGTCTCTTTTGGTTTCTTGCAGTAGTGTCTTGTAGTTTTCATTGTATAGATCTTTTACATCTATGGTTAGATTTATTTCTAAGTATTTTATCTTCTTGGAGGCTATTGTAAATGGTATTGATTTAGTGATTTCCTCTTCGAGGTTCTCTTTGTTGGTGTAAAGGAATCCAACTGATTTTTGAATGTTTATCTTGTATCCTGAAACTTTGCTAAAATCTTCTATTAGTTCCAGTAGTTTTCTTGTGTATTCTTTGGGTTTTCTGTGTATAAGATCATATTTGCAAATAGAGATACTTTGACTTCTTCCTTACCAATTCGGATGCCCTTTCTTTCTTTTTCTAGCCTAATTGCTCTGGCTAGGACCTCCAGCACAGTGTTGAATAAGAGTGTCCACCTGTTTTTAATTCCTTGTTGGGAAGTAGACAGAGATAACCCTGTGTAGACTGGGTATGGAGAGCAAGTGGGCATGGCCTGGGAGCTCAATGTAATCCTAAGGTGGGACAGGGCTGTTCCCACAGCCTCAGAGAAGTGTGCCCAGCCACACTCCCATTTTAGAGAAACTGAGTGGGGTAACTAACCTTTGTGGCTTCACTCCCATTTCTTCTCTCTCTTTATCTCCGTTGGCATACCTGGAGGGATCCAGTGAAAATGTAGACCTGATGGAAGAGGTTCAGCTCTGAGCAGACATTGGGGAAATCCCTATTAATTATCTATTGCTGTGTAACAATATTACTACAAACCTAGCAGTTTAAAACAACACACATGTATTATCCCACCATTTTTGTGGGTCAGGAGTCTGGGCATAGCATAGCTGTATCTGCTTAGGGTCTCATGAGGCTACAATAAAGATATCGACCAGGGCTGTTTTCTTATCTGTAGGCTCAACTGGGGAAGGATCCAGTTCCCTACTTGCATGGTTGTTGGCAGCAATCAGTTCCTTGCAACTATAGGACTGAGAGCTTCAGGTTATTTTGCTAGCTGTTGGCCAGAGGTCACCTTCAGCTCCTAGAGACCACCCACAGCTCCTTGCCATATGGGGTTCCCCAACACAGCTACTTGTTTCCTCACAGCCAGCAAGAGAGGAGACTCGAGCAGGATGAGCTCTACAGTCTTCTGTAACAATCATGTAACCATGTATGCATAATCACATCCATCCCATCACCTTTGTCGTATTCTGTTGGTTTGAAGCAAGTCATAGGGGTCTCTGACACTCAAGGAGGGGGAATTATACAAAAGCATCATCACCAGCAGGTGGGGATTATGGGGGCTGCCCTAAGAATCTGTCTGCCACACCAGGCAACAGCCCTGCCTTTTCCCCATCAGTGTCCAGACACCCTGGACCCCCGGGACACATGTGTACTGAATCCTCTCCGAGAACCATTTGCCAAGAAGGAATGCAGCATCCTGCTCAGCGAGGTGTTTGAGACCTGCCATCCTGTGGTGAGTCAACCCCAGCCTTGGCCACCCCTGAGTCCCCCTTCCACTTCCCTGGAGTCCTTTATGCTCTCAGACTCTCCCCTGCCTGGGAGGAGACACCTCAGGTCTAGAGCCAGAGACCCACCTCTTCCATTCCCCTGCCTCCAGCCTATTCAGATGAATTTGTCCTATTTCCTAAGTTGGCCAGGGGTAGACAGACAGACAGCAAGATCTTCTGTTCTTTTTTCAAGGCTATCTCAATCTGGCTTTCTGTCCTTACCAGGAAGTTCTTCTGAATAGTTAACCCAAACCTCCCATGCTGTGGCATCCATGTTGCCTGTTCTGCCTTCAGTGAAGACAGGAAAGCTGGCAGTCAGCTCTGCATGGCACCCTCCAGGGCCTTGAAGGCTGGTCTTGGCTGTCTCTGCTCCTGACTTGGCAGCTCAGACCCCACACCTGTTCCGCAGCCACATCCTCAGCCCCTGGAACAAATCGGCTAGGCTCAGGGAGGAGAGAGTTTAGTTTTCAAAATTTGGTGTCTCTCAACCATGGAGTTCTTGTTTCCCTCCAAGCTGGCTGCCTTCCTTGCCTCACCCCACCGCAGGCAGCTCACCCCATCCCACGGTCCCTTCATATTTATGCTGCTCTCAGAGGCTGGGTGGCATCAGCTGAGAAGCTGCAGATCTCCCATTCAGGATCTGGCATCTGACTTCTGAATTTTGACTTCCTTCAGGTTGATGTCACCTGGTTTTACTCAAACTGCCTGATGGACACATGTGGGTGCAGCCGGGGTGGTGACTGCGAGTGCTTCTGTGCCAGCGTGTCAGCCTACGCTCACCAGTGCTGCCAGCACGGGGTGACCATTGACTGGCGGACCCCACGCCTTTGCCGTGAGTGCCCCAGTCTAATCATCCAAGCAGGCAAGAGTGGGGCCTCCACTGTGGGTAGGCCCATGGGGTATCATCACTCTGGCTAGTGTTTATTGAGCACTTACTATGTGCCAGGCACTCCTTTAATTCTCTGTGATGTAGGGACTATTTATTCCTATTTTACAGTTGGAGAAACCGAAGCATAGAGTGTGAGATTAGGTAACATTCCCAAGGTCATTCAGGTTAGCTGTGGAGCCAAGATTCATTCCCAGATAGTCCAGCTGCAAACCTGTGCTCTTCACTACTTTGCTAGAGGAGTCAGGAGCCCTGGATTCCAGGCCCAGAACTGCCATTTGCAAGCTGTGTGACCTCAAACAAGTCACCCAACCTTTCTGGGGCTCAATTTTCTTATCTGAAAAATAGGAATAAGCCTGCCCAACTGGATATATTGTGATAATCAAACAGGATAATGAATGAAAAGCCTTTTGTCAACTGAGACCCGTGGACCCTATCGGAGACAGCACAAGTTATCAGTTTATTGAGCGGAAGGGTGGTCTGCAAACCTTTTTGATTGCACACTCATCTCAAGCAAAAATATTTTGAGCACATACAAATCCACACACATATATATGCATATGTAAAAGTATATATACATATATATTAGGGTAAATGTATATCACAAAACAGATACAAAAATTATTTAAAAGATAAAATATATAGAAGTTTTAATTTTTAATTATTTATTTATTCCTGCACACCAGTGGATTTTGCTGGTGCAAGCACATCCCGCTTTGGGGGGCAGTGGTTTATTACACAGGCTCTGGGGTCAGACTGACTGGGTTCAGACCCAAGCATCACCAAGTTGGGTGAGCTGGGACACGTTCCTTGCTCTCTGAGTTTCTTCATCTATAATAAAGGGATGAGGATAACCATCCTTATCTCTTGGGGTGCTGTGAGGTTTCAGTGAGAATGCATATAAAGCACTTGTCACAGTGCTCTATACTGTTGCTGGCGTTGCTGTTGTTCTGCATGGGGACCTGAATGCTGTCCCAGCTGCAGGAGCTGCTGAGCCCCGGGTGCTCCAGGCAGGATGACCCCAGGAAGCAGATGATGGAACAAAATCCACCTCTGGCCTCCCTTTTCTCTGCCTGTTTTTCCCTGAGACCTTTCCACCCCAGATACCCTGGGACCTCATGCAGCCTGCCTCCGCATCTACTTCTCTGATAAAAATCCTTCAGGAAGAGGAAGCAAACACGTGTTTACTGAGGACCTACTGTGTGCCAGGCCCTGTTCCTATGTGCATCAACTCATTTAATATTCAGGGCCTGGACCGGGGGAGGGGCAGATGGGCAGGTGAGGTGAGCCAGACACTCCCTTTGGGTGCAAAATTTAAAGAAGTACAAGATCAATGTTACTGATTTTTCCTTTTGCCTCAGTCTCCAATATGGCTCAACAAGGCTCTGTTTCTTTCTTTCTTTCTTTTTTTTATTGTTGTGCTTTAAGTGAAAGTTTACAATTCAAGTTAGTTTCTCATACAAAAATTTATGCATACATTGTTATGTGACCCTAATTGCTCTCCCTATACTGTGAGAGCATACTCCTCCTTTCCACCCCTGATTTCCCGTGTCCATTCAGCCAGCTCCTGACCCTCTCTGCCTTCTCATCTCACCTCTGGACAGGAGCTGCCCATTTAGTCTCAGGTATCTACTTGAGCTAAGAAGCACACTCTTCATGAGTAAAGGCTTTGTCTTTATTTAAAATGTTGATATTTTATTCATCATGGATTGTTTGCATTAATCTTTATTTTTTTCAAATATTGCATTAAAATATGATTTATCTTGAATACTGAATTTGTGGGCACCCCCTTAAATTTTGCATGTGAGGTGAATGTCCCACCGTAGTCCAGGCACTGGCAAGCCCGTCAGGCAGATACTAGTATTGGTCTCACCTTAGAGAGGAGGAAATGAAAATTTAGAGAGGTTAAGTAACTTGTCCCAGCATTTGCAGTTGATGAGTGAAAGAGATGGGGTTTGAACCCAGGTCTGACTCTAGAGAGATGGCTCTTAATGACTCTGCTGGGCTGTCTCCCATTGATCTGGTAGACCCTTGGAACCCAAGAGACTTAGAGCTCTTCTAATTTTCTAGTTTAATCTTCTGAATCCATAAATGAGGAAGCTGAGCCCCAGAGAAGGCAGGTACTTGCTCATAGCCACACAGTGGGTCAGTTGTAGATTTCCTGGCTCTTTCCAGAGGGCAGTGCCAAATGCAAAGGAATAGAGTGTTGACTATGGGGTTTGGGGTGTGGAGTGGAGTGAATGGCTCTTTCCAGACCATGTCTACATATGAGACAGGCCCCTCCTAAGCCTTTATCCTAGATCCACTTATTGGCTCCTCATGGCCTTGTTGCTGGCTTTAGGTGCCCCCCGTAAGGTCTCCAAGCCCTGGTCCCCTCTGGTCCCTGAGCCCAAAGGACTGAGGAAATCCATGGCTGTGGGCACCAGGAGAATAGGCTGTGGTGCTGGGCTGGGCCACTAGAGGGCACGCTGAGCTCACACTTGCCAGAGCTTGTCCAAGGCTGGCTGGTGGAGGGGCCTCTGCTGGATGAGGGAAACTTCTGGAACTGGAAGAACCCTTGTATCCTGGAAACTCCGGTGCCCTTCCCACCTAGGGTTCTCTGACAAATGGACTTCCATCTTGTGCTCACATTGTTCCTGCAGGGACAGGGAGTTCAGCACCTTCTGCAGCGTTTCTAATTGTAGCTTCCATTCCATGGTTCCAGTCTTGCCCTTCAGGGCCACACAGAACACATCTTTCTGTCCATCACTCATTCATTTGCTCATTCAGCAAACCTATGCGGAGTAACTTCTCTGGACCAGGCCTGCGATCTGTGCTGGGGGTGCAGAGAGGAGCCACTGAATTTCTTCCCTCTAGCGACAGTCAGAATTGACTTGACAATAACTGGTTTGGTTTTTGGTTTGGTTAGTGACAGTCTTAAAGTCATCTGAATCCAGTGACCATCCCGGAGTCCTGGAGTTTGGGAAACAGGCCAGGACTGGCCCTTGGGGAAGGAAGGAGAGCTGGAATGTGAGGGGCCTTGGCTTTGTCCATCTGTTCCAGACCCTGGGCTGGCTCTTAAAAATCTCTGTTCTCTCTCTTTCAGCATATGACTGTGACTTCTTTAACAAAGGTAAGCCCGTCCTCCCCAAGTGGGGACTTGGGGACCGGGGCAGTTCTAGCCCCATCCTGTCACCACATCAGCCATCCTGAGGCTCTGCTGGCCCTGGAAGAGCTGTGACAAGGGGTAGGGAGAGGCTGCTACCCATCTGGGAACTCTGTCACTTGAAGAGAACCCTGACTGTGCAGGGCCCAGGGATGCCCCTGGCACTCTGTCCCTGGCAGCTCCTGCAGCCCTTGCTCAGTACCCAGGCCAGGTCAGGCAGGGCCCAGCACCCTGGGGACTGTGCTCACCCAAGGCAGCTTCACTGAGAAGTAAAAACCCTATTTGCACCAGTGTGCCAGCCCCACAGCCTTCAGAATCCAGGTCATTAGGCCCATTAAATGCCATCGTGCGTTTCCTGAAGATTTGAATTGGCAAAGGCAGATGTAAATGGACAGCTGATGTAAAACCTATGGCCTGGCTCAACCTGCCAGATTCATTTTCAAATTTAGCCAAAGTCTCAGGGTACAGGATAGACTCCAGCTTCTAGATGAACTGGGGTGAAAATGCAGGTCATGACCAAAGGTCCCAAGGGAGATTAATGTCCAGCAGTAGAGCCGATTAGTCCACTTAATCACTGGGGGGAGGGCTGCCCACGAGTAGTTTTCTATACTAAACTCTATCCAGTTGGACCTTGGTAAGACCTCGGCAGAGTTAGATGTTCATCAGGTCCTTGGTGCCATTCACCATTGACTTCTGAGCCCCTGTCCCTCCTTAGGCACCATCCTGCCAAAAGCAGGCCTGTGTGGGTGTAGGCCTGAGGCTTTGTTCTGTTTCCTGCATTATCAGATTTTGGTTAGGAACATCACCTTGGCAAGTGTATGGTGGATAGAACGCAGAGGGACAGACTAGAGACAAGGTTACCAGTTTGAGGGCCTGCGATGATGAGGGCCAGACCAGGTTGTAACATGATAATTCACAATGGCTACACTCCTGCCAAAATATTTGCCCTGAGGGTCTCTTGATAGCCTAAAACCTTAACCACTAAAGGAATGAATCTGCAGTGGTAGAACTGCAGTCCTTGGGACAGGCAGGATCTGTCTGACATCAGGCTGTAGGACCCCAAGACATTTTAGCAAGACAGCTCTGAGCCATTTTCTCCCTTCTGTGGCATTTTGGGTGGCAGTAACTGGCAAAGGACAAGCTGTTTCCAGCATCCTCCACCTACTCACCCACCCACCCATCCATTCCTTGCTCTGTTCTTCCACTAGCATTTTCTCTGGTCCCAGGCCCTTGCCAGGTGCTGAGAAATCAATGATAAATGAGAGCCAGCACAGTGGTACTGGGGCCTGCTTGCACTGACTCTTCAGAGTCAATTGTGTGTGCCTGGCTCACAGTTGGTGTTTTGAAATCAGCCATAGTGGGAGTATTTACACCATGGAAAGCAAATTAAGTCTTTCTCCACCTCCCCTCCCCCCCCTTTTGGAGAGCTGGTTGTTAAACAGTGACCAGCACATCACTACCTGTCTCCCATCTAGTAGGGAGCAGATGTGGACCCACGGTGCAGATCCACATCATAAGAGCTGTAATGGATGTGTGCTGTGCTCCGAGGGCTGGCGGAGCACAGAGGAGGAGGGACGACATTTGTGTGTGGCCGGAGACGGTGCAGGGAAAGCTTCCTTGGTAACATTTGCACTGGGCCCCAGAGATTGAGTAGATGTTTGCTAGGCACAAAATAAGGCAGAACACACTGTGAGGGTAGAACAGCATAAGTGCAAGACTCAAGGTATGAAACAGCATGGATCTTTCAAGGAAGAGCGAGAGCAGGGGCGAGGGTAGGGAGAGGGAGTGGGAGTGGGGTAGGGAGGAAAGCAGGGGCTGGAGGGCAAGTGGCTCCCAAATTCAAGCTGAGCTCTTGGATTCTATGCTGAGGGCAACGGGGAGCCGCTGAAAAGTTCCCAGCAAGGAGTGCGGTTAGTGATGTGACTCAGGCTGCCATGGGGAGGAGGCATTAGAATGGGGCCACATCACAGGCAGGAAGCCTGTTGCAATTTTCCAGCAAACCTGTATTCCACACCAACAACTACAGGAAACCAAAAGACACAAGAAATCACACAGGTTTGAAATAAATAGATGAACACTAATATTGAGCCCAGCCTTCCCAGGCTTCATCCCTCGGGGGCAGAGACCAGGTCTCTTGTCTTCTCCCAGAGATGACTCTGAATAGAGCAATGGCTGTAATGGTGAAGTTTCAGGCAGTGGGACAGGCCCCTGGAGTGGCCTTTTGGGACCCAGATGCCCCCTGTGGGTCCCCTTCTCTGCAGGCTCCCTGTGAAATGAGTCAGGCACTGTGCAGAGGGTCAGTTCCTCTCCAGGCTGGCAGCCTGGGGTTCCTGTCCCTTCCCTCTGATGGAAATCAATGCTGCTGGGGCCTGGGATGAGGGAAGCTACCAAAAGTAGCTCCTTGGTGCTCTCTTCCCTGCCTCTCGATGGGGACTGGTGGGGATGGGATGCGGGCAGAGGCCCAGGGAGTTAGGGGTTATGACTGGGCCCCTCCTCTTCAGCGCTAGGCAAGGGCCCCTACCAGCTAGCCAGCTTGGCGGCCAGTGGTTCCTTGGTGGCCAGGAAGGCGGCAGGCAGTGCTGTGGTCCTAATGAGGACAGAAGATGTGGCACCGGGGGACATGGTGAATTTCCTGCTGACGGCTGCACTTTACAAGGCCAAGGCCCATGGTAAGGCCCACCCTCCGGCCCCATCCAGCCCTCTGGGGAGGGAGACGGGTGCTGGAGGAGCGGGGAGGCTGAAGCCTGAGAGTGGTCTGTAGCCGCCAGAGAAATGTGGAGCTCCAACATAGCTCATTCGTGACAGGAGCCAGCTTTGTGGCTCCTTTCCCAGCCAAAGGCTTCTGGGTCAGCCTCTATACTCTACAAAGAGACACCTTCTGTTTTCTCCCTAAAACAAAGCAAAACAAAACAGAAAAGCCAGGAGGAAACTACTTCTCACCTGCCTCCCCCTTCCTCCTCCTCCTCCATGATTGAGACTGGATGGATAGACTTCAGCTTCCAGGGGGAGCTGCTGCTTCCTTGGCTCCAGTCGTACCTTCTTTAGTGAGTGGGAGAATGGGCTCTTCATTGCCGAGGCTCTGATCCTGGATTTTGGGCTGGTGGGATACAGACTGAGCACACCTGGAATCAGCCACAGCCTTTTGGGTCTCAGACTGCCAGCAGATTTGAAGGCATTGTCCTCTCTTCAAAGTTCAGTAGCACTTGGGGGATGAGGTGCAGAGCCTTGCCTGGTGCAGGGCGGTACCTTGGTATTTGTGACAAGTGCTGTGCCTCCAAGTCCTCATTTAAGTCAGTGCTAGGCCTGCTCTTTTGTGGCCCTTTGTGTGTATTGTGTCTCTGTGCGTGCACACGCCCACCATCACTGTGATCAGGGTTTCTGCCCCAGCCCCTGCTGGCCCCGTCCAGTCAGTATCTCCCTAATCAGAGGGATGGTCCTCACAGGCAGTCCCTGCATCAGCTGCTAACTGGAAGCAGGAGGCTTCTCAGAAGCCATCCCATTCTAAAAATTGAAGCTCTCGGATTCTCAGTGTCTGCAATTTATCAAGTTCTGAAGATCTCTCTGTCTCTGTCTCTCTCCTCCCTCTCTCTTTCCCTCCCTCCCTTCATCTTTCCCTCCTTTCCGTCCACCTCCTCCCTTTCATTGAGCTCCAATCCCATGCCAAGCACAGAGCTGGACATAGGGAAATCAGGGGTGTAAGAGACACAGTCCCTGCCCACCAGGAGTCCATAGTCCAACTGGGGAGGCACACAGTCAAAAGCAGTTGCAACGTCAGTGGGAACCCTTGGGAAGAGTCCACAACTCCATCTTGAGGAGTCGGGAAAGGCTTCTTGGAATAAGTGATGCTCCCCTGAAGGGTGAGAACAAGTCAGGAAGGAGCTTACAAGCCAAGCTCAGAAGTTCAGATTTTATTCTGAGGGCAGTGAGCAGCCATGGAAAGGCTTTAAGGGAAGGAAGGACACCCTAGCCAACAACGGGCACAGCCAACATCCCGGCTCTGGGTGGCGTTCTTCGTGATGTGAGCTGGGGCTACAGTAGGAGGTGGTAAGCAAAATCATGTCCCTGCACAAGGAGACGCAGGGTGAGGATCCAGGGACTGGGGCACAGGAGGGCCAGAAGTACCACCACCACCTTAAAAAAAACACTTCCCCCTAGATAAACTGGATCCCCACATCTGCGTGGCCCTTCTTGAAGAAGAGTGTCTCATAACTTTTGAAGATGCGATAGGCCATCTGCTTAATGGGGATTTTCTGTTCTCCATTCAGTATTTGAAGTGAAGTCAGGCCTAGTCCAGAAGGAGTATTGATTTTCCAGTAGTTTTACAGGCATGTTAAGCAGAACCCCACTGTGTACAGCAGAGTAACCTGGGCTTCGAGATCCCTTGGAAAGGATCCCCAGAGGCTGTGATGTCCAGATTCCATCTCACAGTTGGGCTGGGTCTCATGGGCAGTTGGGAGCAGAGCTCCACTGTCTCATCCTGGGCTCCTTCCCCTGTAGTGCACCCAGGGAACAATAGAGCAGAAGAGAAGGTGCTTTCCAGGTGGAATGTGGGATGCCTGCATGGAGGAACTGTCCCTTAAGTTGGACCTTGTCTTAGTCATCTGGGGCTGCTATAACAGAAATACCGCAAGTGGATGGCTTTAATAAAGAAATTTATTTTCTCACAGTCTAGTAGGCTAGAGGTCCAGATTCAGGGTGTCAGCTCCAGGGGAAGGCTTTCTGTCTCTGTCAGCTCTGGAGGAAGCTCCTTCTTGTCAGTCTTCCCCTGGACTAGGAGCTTCTCTGCACCGGAACCCCAGGTCCAAAGGACATGTTCTGCTCCTGGTGTTTCTTTCTTGGTGGTGTGATGTCCCCACTCTCTGCTTGCTTCCTTTTCCTTTTACCTCTTGTAAGATAGAAGGTGGTGCAGGCCACACTCCAGGGAAACTTCCCTTTACATTGGATCAGAGATGTGACCTTAGTAAGGGTGTTATAATCTCACCCTAATCCTCTTTAACCACAGGCAGGGATTATGATTTATAACACATAGGAAAATCACAAAATGGAGGACAACCACACAATACTGGGAATCATGGCCTAACCAAGTTAACATATATTTTAGGGGGACACAGTTCAATCCATGACATTCCACCCTTTGCCCCCCTGCCAAAATTCCTGTCCTTGCTACATGTAAGACACATTCACTGCATCATATCATAGCAAAAGTATTAAATCAACTCCAAGTCCAAAATCCAAAAATTCCTCTTCATCTGTGAAATCTAGAATACAAGTTATCTGATTCCAAAGGTACAATAGCAGAACAGGCACAAGCTGGACATTTCCATTACAAAATGGGAGAAATTGGAGGGAAAGAAAGCATAACAGGCACCAAGCAAATCAGCAGAACACATTACATTAGCCCTCAAGGCTTTGAAAATAATCCTCTGTTCTCTGAGACCGTTTACACAATGGCCCTGCCCTCCAGACTCTAGGTATTGGCCACACTGTCTGAATTCTGAGCGGAGGCCCCTTGGCCCTGGGCTTCAGCTCCGTCTTCCAGGCCCACTGTGATGGCATCTGCTCCCTCGGCTTTAGGTGCACCACTCTCCTAGTCCATCTAAGTGGCGACTCCACTCTTAGAAATACCAGAGGCCATGGCTCCACCCTTTGAAACCCCCAGAGGTCGAGGCCATACCTTTTGAGACTGAGGCAGCTCAGTTTCCTGTGTTCTTGGCCTCTTGGGCGTCACACCCACATCTGCCCTGCTGGAGCAAGTGTTCCAAAGCTTAGTAGCTCCACCAATAAGTGCCTGGAGGCACCCTACTCCGCCAGGAAGTCTCCTGCACACAGTCACTCAGCTCTCTCACTCCGTGGTTTGACTCCAGCACCGTCTGGCACTGATTCCCTGATGCTGCTGCTGCCGGTTCACTGCTGCTGCCAGTCCTTTGCTGCTGTTTCTCACCATCTGCGCCTTCTCCAGTGTTAACAGTTTTCCTCGTTTCCTTCTGAGTCTTTTATTCATTCACAGTTTCAAAACTGCTTCCACATTTTAGGTATCTGTTAGAGCAGCACCCCACTCTCTTGGTACCAAATTCTGTCTTAGTCATCTAGTGCTGCTGTAACAAAAATACCACAAGTGGATGGCTTTAATAAAGAAATTTATTTTCTTACAGTCTAGTCGGCTAGAAGTTCAAATTCAGAGTGTCGGTGCCAGGGAAAGCTTTCTGTCTCTGTCAGCTCTGGAGGAAGCTCCTTCTTGTCGGTCTTCCCCTGGACTAGGAGCTTCTCTGCACAGGAACCATGGGTCCAAAGGACATGCTCTGCTCCCAGTGTTTCTTTCTTGGTGGTATGAGGTCCCCACTCTCTGCTTGCTTCCTTTTCCTTTTATCTCTTGTAGGATAAAAAGTGGTGCAGGCCATACTCCAGGGAAGTTTCCCTTTACATTGGATCAGGGATGTGACCTTTAGTAAGGGTGTTAAATCCCATCCTAATCTTCTTTAACCACAGGCAGAGATTATGATTTATAACACATAGGAAAATCACAAAATGGAGGACAACCACACAATACTGGGAATCATGGCCTGACCAAGTTAACACACATTTTTGGGGGACACAATTCAATCCATGACAGACCTTAAGGATTATAATGGGAAGAGTGGTGACGGGGAGAAATGGAGAGCAGAAAATGTCATAGAGGAGGATTCAGCAATCTTACAGGCTTTAGTTTCTTACTTGGGGGTGCAGGTGGAGAGTTTTTGGTCTCCTGAAGGGTGTACTCAAGGGACAGAGCCACAGCCTGGTGCATCTCCCTAGAGAGCCAGTTTTATTTGAAGATCCTGGGGGAGAGGTTACTTTTCTATTAATAATAATAGTTCACCATTCTTGTAGCACTTACCACATGCAGAGCACAGTTCTTAGTGCATTGCTCATATTAATTCATTTAATCCACAAATCTACCTCCAAATCTTAGGAGGTGGATTCTTTTATTTTCCTGATTTACAGATAACTGAGGCTCAGAAAGAGTCAGTAATTTACCCCAGGGTACATAGCTAATTGAACATAGAGTAGCTAAAGCCGAAGGAAGAAATGATGACGTTATGGAGTGGAACAGAAGATTTCAAAGGGCGGCTCGAGAAGACAAAGTGAAGTATTATAATGACATGTGCAAAGACCTGAAGATATAAAACCAAAAGGGAAGAACATGTTCAGCATTTCTCAGGCTGAAAGAACTGAAGAATAATTCAAGCCTAGAGTTGCAATAGTGAAGGATTCTATGGGGAAAATGCTAAACAATGCAGGAAGCATGAAAAGAAGATGGAAGGAATACACAGAGTCACTGTACCAAAAAGAATTGGGCAACATTCATCCATTTCAGGAGGTAGCATATGATTAAGAACCATTGGTACTAAAGGAAGAGGTCCAAGCTGCACTGAAGGCACTGATGAAAAACAAAGCTCCAGGAACTGATGGAATACCAATTGAGATGATCCAACAAACAGATTCAGCACTGAAAGTGCCCACTTATCTATGCCAAGAAAGTTGGAAGACAGTTACCTGGCCAACCGACTGGAAGAGATCCATATCTGAACCCATTCCAGAGAAAGGTGATCCGACAGAATGCAGAAATGATAGAACAATATCATTAATACCACACGCAAGTAAAATTTTACTGAAGATCATTCAAAAGTGGTTGGAGCAGTACATCGACAGGGAACTGCCAGAAATTCAAGCCACATTCAGAAGAGGATGTGGAACAATGGATATCATTGCTGATGTCAGATGGATCCTGGCTGAAAGCAGAGAATACCAGAAAGATGTTTACCTGTGTTTTATTGACTGTGCAAAGGGATGGAGTGTGTGGATCACAGCAAGTTATGGATAACATTGTGAGGAATGGGAATTCCAGAACACTTAGTTGTGCTCATGAGGAACCTGTACATGGATAAAGAGGCAGTCGTTCGAACAGAACGAGGGAATACTGCATGGTTTAAAGTCAGGAAAGGTGTGCGTCAGGGTTGTATCCTTTCACCATACTTGTTCAGTCTGTATGCCGAGCAAGTAATTCGAGAAGCTGAACTATATGAAGAAGAACCAGGCATCCAGATTGGAGCAAGGCTCATAAACAACCTGTGATATGCAGATGACACAATCTTGCTTGCTGAAAGTGAAGAGGACTTGAAGCACTTACTGATGAAGATCAAAAACCACAGCCTTCGGTATGGATTACACCTCAACGTAAAGAAGACAAAAATCCTCACAACTGGACCAATAAGCAACATCATGATAAACAGAGAAAATACTGAAGTTGTCAAGGATTTCGTTTTACTTGGATCGACAATCAATGCCCATGGAAGCAGCAGTCAGGAAATCAAATGACACATTGCATTGGGCAAATCTTCTGCAAAAGACCTCTTTAAAGTGTTAAAAAGCAAAGATGTCACTTTAAGGACTAAGGTGCGCCTGACCCAAGCCACGGTGTTTTCAGTCACCTCATATGCATGTGAAAGCTGGACAATGAATAAAGAAGACCGAAGAATTGATGCCTTTGAATAATGGTGTTGGCAAGGAATATTGAATATACCATGGACTGCCAGAAGAATGAACAAATCTGTCTTGGAAGAAGTACAGCCAGAATGTTCATTAGAAGCAAGGATGGTGGCAAGACTCCATCTCACATACTTTGGACATGTGATCAGGAGGGACCAGTCCCTGGAGAAGGACATCATGCTTGGTAGAGGGTCAG